GATTTACCTGGACAAATAGTTCCTCAGCCTGTGCATTTCTCCACTAACTTTAGCAGGTCACATCTGAAAGCACATCTCTACATGCACAGGGCCTATAGCAGAACCTGGACTGGACACCAGTGGGGAAGGAATGCTTTATGGGTTGGAGGATGAGTTCACCAAGTTCTAAGGTGAATCAGGCCTGAGCAGTGAAGTTGTATGGAACACTTTCTGAGGATATATATGGAAAACATCATTCAGGATCAGTTAAAAAAAAATAAATTCCTACTTCTTTCAAATGTTAAGAAATGGCCTGTGGGCCAACACACTGAACTACCACCTAGCTAAGTGGGAAACCACAGTTTATTCCCACTTCTCTAGAAATGTTTCCATTTTAATTGCAGTATTTTTTAAAACTGTTTCTCAGTGTTTAAAGAGAAGCATAGCTCTGTTCTTCATACTTCTTTTTGGTAGATAACAAGGTCTCAGTGACAAAAGAGACATGGCTGGACCCTTAGCAGCCCACATGAGCTGTGATACTCAGTGCTGTAGGTGAGAGCTCTTAGAGTGTGTGCCTATGTCAAGTTTTCTCAGAAAGTCATATGGGCTGTCTCTCTGTGCCCCTAGGGAGCCCACTCAAGTCAACTGAAGTTTGGTAGTTATTCATTAAAGAAGTGGTACTTGGAAATGCTGTTACCAGTTTCCAAATCTCAGCCTGTGTGGTGCAGAAGACTCTTGCTTGGGTCACTCTGAATGCAAGGAAAAGCCTCAGCTTCATCCAAAGCAGAGAAAAGACTGGAGCAAGAAGAGAGGAGCTGTTTATCATCTTAGTCCCTCCAGAGAGGAGCAAAATTTATTTTCTCAGTAATTTGTGGTTATGCCAGCCCTTCCAGACACATGGCAAAACATGTCCCCCCATTGTCTGCACGGACAGCAGCTGAGACTGTGTAACTTGGCAAAGCCCCGTGCACTTACGTTCACCACTAAGTTATCTTAGCCATATATCAAAAGGTTGAGGAAAGCTGTAAAACAAAGCCTGCCTAGCCCAAAGGCAGCCCTGCTCCTTGCTGTCTAGTCTCTCCCACAACACAAACGCCTTTTCAAAGGATGTAACGACCTACCTGCACTGGTGGGGAGTGCAGGGGATCACAAGCCCTTCTAGCAACTCACCAGGTGAAGGAAATACACTGAGTCTTGGTGTTCAGTGGAGCAGGAGGTGAGACATTAACTTTATCAGCTAACATGGGAGAAAACAGCAGATCTGGAAACAGCCTGGCAAGAAGCTGTTCTTCAAGAAGGTGCCACCACATTACAAGCTGAGGGCTGGCCCAGGGGCCTGTGGTCAGCTCGTGGAAAACGATGCCAGATTCGGCAGCTTGCCAGCGTGTGGACACTCACAACAAACCCTGAGGCTACACTGGAGCAGCTGCCAGGTCACTGCTGGCTCTCAGCCTCCACGCTGTGCTGACAGGCAGGGCAAGAGACTTCTGGACTCACCTATGCACTGATCCCTCATTCTTACAACCCACAGCCAACTTCACAGTGCCTCTTCTTGACATCTGAGCAGCAATCCTTGGCATTCACACGTTTCAGCTGCTGAGCTCAAGGGAGAGCCAGGCGTGTTATCCCTGTTTCACACCCAGCCCACAACAGCCAAGCAGCTTGTCAGAGGTTGTGTGCCACTGGGAGAAAGCAGGTCCCACATCCTGCCCCTCCTCCTGCCCAGTCACAGCTGGTAGGACACAGTGGTACTGCTCACTAACCTCAGCTGCAGGAGGGCAAACAAAAGAGCAGCAATGATGAGCACAGGTAGACAGGCAAGGAACCCAAAGTTCCTGCTTGTGACATTAATGACTTGCTTATGCTACTGTCCTGATCCTCTAATCCAGACTGGGAAACCCTTTGGGCCAGGGCTTTTCTTTCATGAGGTGTTTGCATGGCACCTGACATGGTGAGGCTCTGAGCTGAGCTCCAGGCATGGGACCAGCAGCACCAACAGGTTCTCAGGACAATATACGGAAACCTCAGCTGTGTTGGGCTAAATGCTAAATACATCTCAGACAAACACAAGAACTCCTATGTCTTGGAACTAAACTTTGCTCCTTATTTGCCATCTCTTTTAAAATACTACTACTACAACACATAGTAAGCAAAAATCAGGCATTAAGATAGCACTGCTGGTACAATATTGATACCACATGTTAAAAAAAAAAATTATACAAGCACATAACATTAATGAAGATGACCAAGAAAAGAGCTCAAAGCTTTCTGGATGTATTTCCTAAAAGTTCACTTTTAAGTCTCTTTCTCTAATAGGTCTTGAGAGCTTCTGAAGATATTCAGCTCTCTTTGAAGTTGAATACAATCTGCAGAGCAGACTTATCTGATGGTACCCACACATCTCCCACAGCACAAGGAAACCCCATCACTTCCAGCTTTGTCTTTCTTGAATGATGATTAGCTGTATCTCCCCTCCTCCTCCAGTGACAGTACACCTCCTTTTCAAAGATGAACTAGGACTGATATGTAGCCAACATATGCCAAGATAGTAAGAACATCTCTCACTCCTTCCCCACAGCATGGTGTAGACCACAGCCCTCCTGCCCTCACAGCAACTGGGTCAGTTGTCATCATCTATTTTTTATCTTTTTTGCCAGCTGCTCAACCAAACACCATAAAATCCACAGGAACACCACAAAAAGCCATTCTTTTCAGCCACTGCATTGGCAAGACTGAAGGTTTAAGCAACCAGTGGCTTCAGCTCCAGGCCTCCAGCCTCCCCCTAAAACAGGCAGGAGATATGGAGACAGACAGACTCATGTGATTTCAGTCCCCCTGGTGCACTGTGCTTTAATCATAATTCTCTCCCTAGCCCACCCCCAACCCTCTCCTTGCTCAAAGGTTCCCCGGGGCCCACCCACTGGAAATGTCCTGCAGGGAAGCAGGGACGTGGAGTCACAGCTCTTTCCACGACAGATTCACCATGTTCCTCACAGCTCTGCAACACTTAACTTCCCTGGAAGGGTTTCAAGGTCTGACTCATGTCCAGTTCTTCTATTTTAATCATTCCCTCTTACATCATTCTCAGAGGCCCACGGTGTCACATGCAAACTCCCCCAGCCCCCCACTCCTCCTCTGCTGAGCACTTAATCTGTTGCCATCTCACATCCCAAACAAAACTAGGTAGGGAAATACATTTGATACCAGCTCCTTCTCTACTCTCCAGACCATTTACCAGCTTTGGACGGCAGCTAATAAGGGCTTCCAAGAGCTCTCCATTGCAATCACAACACTGAAATAGAGCAGGAACAGGAGCCACGCCAGCAAACCCAGAGGCACAGGGACATGAGAGGCCAGAAACATCACAGGCCAGGAGATAAGCACTGGGAAGGCACCAGGACAACTGGTTCCTACTTTCCATTTTCCCAGTGACTTCCTGAAAAACTCTGGATGTCGCTTAATCTTTTTGTTCACGCTTGGAAGTACGAATCATCAGCATCAGCCCATTCAAGATTCCTTATTAAACCTGATATCATGAAACGGGGATGGAGCCAAAACTCTCTGAACGAGCCGAGTAGAACAAAGGTGCTCATGTGCAGCCCTTTAATCCCTTCCCTAGATCCCAGCCTAAACGCCTCCACGGCCGAGAGATTCCCTGCTGATCTCAGGGGAGCCCCTTGTTTGGAACACTGACCGCCAGACAAAAACTCTTGCCTGGAAGATTACAAACTCCAGCCAAACAACAGCTGGAAGGCTTTGAGCCTCCAGCGTGCTCTGCAGAAAGAAGGCAGAGAGCAGAGATCCTGTACCTAACGACTGTTGCCTTGTTTGTTTTACTCTGGTCAGTGAGTCATCCTTATATCAACTGGTCCCCTGCAATTATTCATCACAGAGGTTTCTGGTGCAACCAACAGCATACGAAGTCATAAGATCTGGTACATATTCCTCCTACATGACCCACAAATAATCTGCTCGACCTCCTGGCAGCCCAGGGGTTGAAGAGCAGAGCGTGGCAGTGTCGGGATGCTGGTGTGGCTGCTGCTGGGGGAAGAGCAGCGGGCGGCAGGCGCAGGACTGGGGAAGCTCTCGCTCCCGGGCAGGGCTCACAGGGCAAAGCTCTGGACTCTTCTGTGTGTGGGGGAGTGGCCGTTTTGCCAGGAGCATGTGAGTGCAGTGAGGTCGGGAGGTGGAGAGGACAAGGTGCAAAGGGAACGAGCCGCACCAGAGTGTGAACTGGCCTGATCTCTCCACTGACTCCTGGAGCAAAACACTGCCTACATTTTGCTGAAGGAAGTGTGCAGGATTGCTTGGAAGAAGGCTGATGTGGGAAAGGCTTTTCTTTCTGTCCTTTCATTGTTCCCTCTACTCGTACTTGCCCCACCTGCTTTTATTTTGCTTTTTGCTATCGTCAGCACAAACCCCCTCTTTATTCCACACAGCTCTCACAGTTTCCATCTTGTATTCAGCCCTACCTGCAAACACTTCATCTTCCTCACCAAGCTCTCAAATCTACCTGGTCTCCTTGCTCCTCAAACATATCTTCATCTGATCTGTGACTGCTGTAACTCTATACCACCACCAAGGACAAAAAGGTTTCTACACAAAAGGGCACTTGCATTATACAAACCAGGGTGGCACAAGGGTTGGAGAGAATCAGAGCACAAAGAGACAAACGTGACGGGACTGGTGGGAGCACAGAGCAGTGGATAGAGCAGAGTGAGCACAGGCACCTGGGATGCTGCAGCCATGGTGGGGAAAGAGAACTGCATTCAGGGAAGAGGCTGGTGAAAGGGAAGACACTGCAGAAGATAGTCTGAGAAGTGTAAGATCCAAGGGAGCATGGAGACAGTGCAAAAAAACCCCAAAATGCCTGAAGTGGGCAGAGCATGGAAGAAAAGAAGAAAACAGTATTTGTATCTTCAGTTTTCTTTGTGCTTGAGAAGAAGAACATGGAAAGGGTTGTTTGATCTCCCCACTTAATTCCCATCAGAAGATATGAGGGGACCCCACCAAAGCCAGATGTTTTGTTTCCAGTTTCATTCAACAAGGTCAGCATAATAGATGAGGAAAAACTTTACCGGCCTACCCATCTTGCCCCTCTTCCCAGGAACTCCAGGGATCCCCTGCAAGGAAAACACACAGAGAAAAAAAAATAGTAGGTCTGCTTTTCTCAAGCAAACAGCCAACCAAAAATACAAAACAAAACTAGAGGAGAAAGGGGAATGCAAAACAGGCTAATGACTGCGGCATTGTTCGGGAATCAGCTACTTGCAGTCAGCTGGGAGAGCAGAAGACAATTAACCTTCACCCACTAACTAGGCCCTCCCTGAGGACACGCAGGCAGCATCCACACCCTGGGCAACGGGCTGAGGCTCTGCTTAGCAGGAGCAGTCATTAAGCTACTGGTCTGGAACCAAGTGAAGGCCACCGCCAAGGCACTCACTGGAGAACTTCTGTTTATGTTTCTTATTTAGTTATACAAGCATTAAATATCAGCGACTCCAGAGTGCAGGGCAGTCCCCTTCCAGGCAGGCACACACACACTCACACTCCCACATGCTCCCGGGGCCTCTCTTGTTTCTGGAGCTTGCATCTGAGGGAGAAAAAACTGGAATAAAATGGTCTTCATCTTACAGCGACCTTCCTTAGGAGCTCTTGCAGTGGGAAGAGGGGGTCTTTGGATGGGTAGAGATCAAGCAGGTGGGTGGATGTGGGGGGAAAAATTAAAAAAGCAAGGAGGTGCTGCAATGCTCTGGACACGTGGGTTTGGAGAAGGCATGATGAAAAGGAGGGGGGAAGGATGGGCACGTGAGAACAGCAGCCACAGCTGCCCGTCCACAGCCCCCAGTCTCGACTGCCCAACTTAATGGAACTGGAAGGAAAGCCACTGTCAGAAACCCCAAGGCACTGTCCCTTCCGAGAGCCAGGCTCTTTCCAGACACCTCTAGACACCCAAGATTCTGGGACACTGTGGCTGGGATGTGGCTGGGATTCCTGCAGGAGCAGGGAATTTCCATGTACATTCTTGCCCTCTCCCCATGCCACTAAGATGGACTAGTGAGAGGGAGGAGGAAGGCAGGTGTTTAAGTGAAGGAAAACACAGAAAAACTCCTCTCTACTCAACAGTGAGGTCTGATGACCCCTGCAGAAGCCTAGGTTTCCCTGAGCTGGAAGTCAACATCATACAGGAACACAGGTCTTCATGAAAGGGTAGAAAGAGGCTAAAGAAGGCATGGTTAAATGTTAGGCATGCTTGCCTCTTTCCTCAGGAACAAGGGATAGAGAAGGTTATTCTGAAGAACGGTATTCAAGCAACACACCAAGGATTTCTTCACAAAATACTCACTCGTTCTCCATCAGCCCCTGGTAGCCCAAATAATCCTGGGAGACCAATATAACCCTAAAGAAAAGAGGAAACGAGTAGTCAGATCCATTTCTCCACTAGTGACCAGTCAGTCTGTCTTTCCTGAAGAGCAGAGCAGCCTCCAGCGTTGGTCAACAGCAGCCGTGATGAAATAAACCTTGAGGCAAGTGTATATGCCCATGGACTGCATGGTGCTGGCTTCCACGATGTAGTCCAAGGGCACATACCCTCACACCAGGGATCATGAGGGCTCCAGGCAGGAAGAGGCCAGCAAGAAGAAACCTTACCTGGGCTGGCTCTAAGTGTACCTGAAGGAAATGGAGCTTGGTTCAAGGTTAGCAAGAGTGATGCAAAAGTAATCCAGATGCCTACACCTCTTTTCGTTTCTCCAAAGGCTCTTTTCCTGCCTTTGGCACTCAGCTCCAACTGTTTACAAAAATGTCCTGTTGCATCAAGCCCTTTCTGCCTGTCTCATGTCCAGTGGTGGTTTCACAGCCAGCCCCTGCTCACAGACACCACCTCCTCCTGGCACGTGAGGCTGCCAACCATCCTGTTGCTGGGAGAAGAGCAGATCTGTGAAGGTTCTGCCTAAACCCTGCAAACTCTGCTGCACCACTAAGACATCCTGCAAGTGCTTTGTCAACCAGAGCACCAAGGGCCCTGCCAGGAGAGGCTCAGCTCAGCTCATTTTGGGCTCTTTTCATGGGCGTATGAGGCTCAGCTTATGGACACACAGACACCTGGCACCCAGCTGTACAGAAGCTTCTTTAGCACCAACGTGTTTCACACAAACTCTGCCCCTTTCACTCCCAGCAGCAGGCGTCCTGTTTTCAAGTCTGCATTTCACTACCCCCTTGGGATCCTGCTCCCACAAGACACGCTGCATAAAATGCTACATTTCCCCTCCCTTGCAACAATTGAAGCCTTGTGCTTAATCCTCTTTGCTCAGCAGTTAGTACAAAGTTACCTTGTGTGCTGGGCCTTTGCAAAGGACTAATTTGTGCCAAACATGCGGAATGGAGAGGAAGTGAATTTCAGCAGGGAGCCCCCTCAGTGGCACCTCGCTGTTACAAGAGCCAAGTGTTAACACTGATTTTCTCTCATCTTTCATTCTCCATCATCACTAAATCTCATACTGTCAACCCCACCACACTTTTTGACTGGTCCATTGCTCCCTTTTGGGATATACCCGGCCAGGAAACACGGCTACATTAAAGGATGCTCTCTGCCTTTGCCACCTGACCCTGGTGACAAACCATGTAACTTTGGAACTACTGCAGAATTAAAATACAGAGATGAGGGATGGAGGAGAGTCCACAGTTGGCTCCCTCAATCCACAAAATGCAGATACCTCACCTTAGTACCCAATTCTGATTGACTGCAGTTGAACTAAGAAATAGCTTTCTTAGGTAGCTGTAAATATTTCAGTCCTCAGCACTCTGAAGTGCAAAGTGAGAAATAATTTTCAAGCCATATCCTGCACATCTACCACATGATAATGACACGAGGTCCTGGTTAGGCCAATGAGACAGATGCACCAGGAAAAAAAGAAGTCGTGGTTTGCAGAAGTGAGGTGAGCAAGCTGTGCTGTCTCAGAGCCTCCTCTCTCCTACAGGACACTGAACACTCCATCTCCCTTCCCACCTCAGGAACACAGCTAGCTACAGGGTCAGCAATTGTTTATTCCTTCCACTTTTCCTGGTGATGAAAGCCAGCTGGTTGAGTTTACTGCATCTAGAGAAAGTATCACATCAGAGGAACGGGGGATTTTATTGGCTCTGAATCTCATTGTGAATTTATAATTACAGGAAAAGAACAAAATGTGATTAACAAGAGCCATAAGTGGTAAAAACAAATAATAATCCTTTGCAAATGAGAATGAGCCCTCAGCAATTCAGTTTGGTGAGAAAACCCAGGCAACAAAGAGATATTAATGCTTTTATTTGCACATGGCTTCAAGATGCTGGCTTGCTATTCTACATCATGATAAAAATCCCTCCAAAACCCAGGACTATACCCAAAAGAACCAATATTCAGCATGGCTGGAGTGAACCACACTTATTGAAACTAAAGAGGCCTTTGGGAGATGGGGCTTACAGAAAGTTCAGACTTTGGTCATTGGTAGGAATTTGTGTGCCATTCTTTCCTCTCCTGCAATGTGAGCTCTGAAGGGGTTGACTTTGTATCATCAGCACTCTTTGTGAACTTTGATCTTGGTACATTCCATGTTTAGTTTAAAAACTTCAGCACTGCCTCAATAAACAAGCGGTGTGCAGCTCAGATCCCCTGGATCCAACAAATTACAGCAACTCCTCTCAGGCTTGCAAAATTAAGCGTAAAGTCTCTTAAGAAGCCTTTGGTAAAAACAAGTAGAGAAAAGACAAACAAAAAGCTGCTTACCCGGCTGCCTTTTGGACCAGCTTCCCCTATGGGGCCAGGTAAACCCTAGAACAGAAGGGAAAAAACAAAGACAAATGTGGACAGGCTTTAAGTCAAGCTAACGAGCAGTGCCAAATCCCCAGCACCATCCCCGCCTGCTTCTGCTTCCAGTGCCCAGCCCACGGCGTAGCAACCAAGGAGAAAAAAAGCACAAAATGATACAAATAACAAATCTCCCATTGTTGGGGAGCTGGGACTCTGCAGAACCTGAGACTGCTGCACATAGTGAGCCTTCCCCGGGGCTGAATTAGAGATTTCTGGTCCTAAAGACCAAAGAGGCTGATGCTGGAGGGCGCACGGAGGTTGTGTTACACTGGAGATGTGATGTGCAGCGATTCCCTGTACCCTGCAGCTCCTGATTCCTTTTCCTGCCTAACTGAACACATGGATAGCAAATAACAAATGTATTTCAATACCTGTTTGGGGAACACAGATGGGCCCTGATGCAGTGAGAAAGCCTCTTTGGCTTCTACAGCTAGAAAGTCGCTGAGCAATGCAGGTACTGCAATATCTCTGACCTTTCCCAGCATCAACAGCTATGGAAAGAACTGAAAATACATCCCCCATTCGACTTCTGTGCCTATTGCTGCTTACATAAAGTACTGTGAAAAAGAAGGCTGTAAAAATGCATGATGAATTTTACATGTTTATTGACTTCTAGCAAGTATTTCAGGTCATTTTTTTTCTAGTTCCAAATGTTACTGGGCTTTTTTGGAAAGCGGGAGGGGAAAAAAAAAAGGCTAAGTCCATAGTTTCTTCAGCTGGCAGTGCTACACACTCAGCCTGGGATCTGAAAGTCAGGTTATGCTCTTTCCTGACTCAGGCACTGTTGCCAAAGATTTCAGCCATCAGGGTGAAGTGAACAATCCTGCCTGTGATGCTCAAACCAAAGCAGAGCCAAGCTCTCCCCGATAGCGCTGCCGAGCCAGCACAGCTGACAGGAGTAGCAAGTAGTAAAATCTCAGCAGAGTAAACAGCTCTGACGCTGGAGCCATGCAGCTTTCAGCTATGCTGACAAAAACCTGCCTTAAAGCACATTTTAAGAAAGCACTTTTGTTCTTCCTATGTCAGGCACGAAGATTGCACCCTGCCTATCTGATGGGCAGAGTGCTGCTCGGAATGGCTGAGCAGCATTCACTAACCTCCTAGGTCCAATATAGCTCCGACCTCTTCGCATTAGGCATCTGACACACTCACACCTAGGAGCTGCTTTGGCATGCAAATCTCTATGAGCCTTTCAGAGTATGAATGGAGCATTTAGTCAGGTGCATAAAGCTCAGCCAGTTCTACCATCTGCACTCTTTGGTGTGCTAAGCTAAGAATCCATTTAATTTTCAACTGAAAATGGATCATACGTTATTGACAGTCTGAGGGAGGGGGATTCAGGCTTGTTCTGCACATATAGTTCACATGGAGTACAATAACTTGCACATCTGGGTAAAAAAACTTGCATACAAACTCATGACAAGTCTGAAAGACTCATGGCAACCTGCCTGGGGTCTCTGACATCTCTCTAACCTCTCAGCTATGTACTTAGAGATAAACGGGGCAGAATCCAACGTTCATGTGTCCATTGTAGAAACCATGACAAACTCATTTCACTGTAAAATGTTACAGGACCAAGTCTTCTGCCCTCCAGCAGATTCCATTTAGGGTCTTACAAATTCTTCCCCTTGATTCTCTTCCAATTACTCAGCATCTTACATCAGTAAGACAAATTGCCCAATCCTGATTCATTCTCCTTCGCACACTCCTCCATGCCTGAAGTTGTCTTTGTGCATTTTTTTGGAATGAAAACAAAGGCTTGGTTTTCTTGCAACATGTTTTTTTTTTTTGCAGCTGCAAATGTGATATTTATATATATTTATAGCTCATGAATAATTTTATAAGTATGTATATATAGGATTATACTAGTGAATTTTACTAGTGAGACTTCATCTAAATCCTTTCTATTGGTAATGTGCCTTTTTCTGCCCCAGGTTTCTACCCTGTCCAACACTAGATGTAAAATGTGCCTCAAAGTGAAGGGTTAGCAGCTTGCAAGTGTGTTGCTCTGCTCTGCTGTCTGGTTGGGTTTTGTCTGAATGGTTGGTTTTTTTCCCCCTGCTATTATACTAAAGCAAAAACTTGTCAGATTTTGCTATAGAAATCCAGGTTTTGCTATAGAAATCAAGGTTTTATCTATTTAAGGCATAAAACATTTTCTAACAACCTTAGTATCTCCTGGAGCTGGAAGACTGTGATCATTGCTACAGCACCTTGGGGAGGGAAGAAGGAAAATAGACATATTCTAGAGGTCTGCAATGTCTTTAGTGGGACACGTATTTAGCAGGGCATATATTTAGCTACCTGCACACCCAAATCCCTAGTCTGTGCACAGCACGATGAGATTTACTGCACCTGCCTGCCAGGATAACCTTTGGCACCTGGGCTTCCATCTGGTCCTCGTTCGCCCTTGGGAGAGAGAAAAGAAAAGGCACAGCAGGTAAGGGAATGTCACACTTGGAAGCCTTTTAGCTCCTCCATCCTTTGAGCTAGGGGCAAAGGAGGGTGGAATGAATTAACCTGATGCAAGTCTATAAAGATATAGAAAACACTAAGGATAGACAGTGGAATAAACTAATGGGGGGGGGAACAGAAGCCAAGTCAATAGGATCCATGCATTAAGCAAGTGTTGTTATTTCTCCTTCTCTTTCACTTCTCTGCAGTGAAAGCAGCAGATAGTTTGAAACAAGGAGGCTAAGAGAAGGTGTAAGGCTGCATCTATATCTGGCATATGGAACCGTTTTACTGGTGGGGAAGCACTGCCAAAATTCTTTAAAACTAAATGGATTCATGTATAATATCCTTTAACATCATTGCTAACACAGGGCCTGCTATTCATTGCCTTTTTTTTTTTTTAAATTCTGAACTGCAAACATCAGACTTAGAGGGGGGAGGAAAGGGGGGAGGGGGAAAGGGCTTTGGGAGGGGAATTACATGTTAGTACTTCATACGACGTGGTGAGTAAACTCTGGGTGAAATTAATGTAAAAGGAAAAAATAAAGGGGGAGCAGGGTAAACTGGTATTTCTTCCACCACGTAAACTTAATGTGGTTGAGCAATAAAAATGAGAAATTAAATTTAGAAACTGCAAGGCAGTCTCCCCCCAGCCACCTGCTGGTGCTGGGTGAGCACATCCCTGCGTGCAGCAGCCAGCCCTGGCAGGACAGCAGCTGCCTGGCCATGTGGGGCAGGCTGCACAGGACCCACACCAGCCTCACCCTCAGCAAATCCATCCCCTCGTAAGGTGAGAGTGGGGGAAACTGGGAGCACTCACCTGGTCTCCAGGGTGACCTGGTGGTCCAGGGTAGCCTTTGTATCCCTGTTGAAATAGGATGGAAGAGGTGAATAAGAAGGAGGAAGGAAAAAAAAATCTGGGTTTGGTTTGAATTTCTCTTTGCAGGTGGGAGTAAAGTTTGGAGTACGAGCAAGTTTTTAGATATGGGATGGCACTACACAACCACACAAACTTTTAAGGTGTTGCCTTATGCTTGCATCACAGAAACCCTGCTGGGGTCTGGCCTGGTGGTAACTCAGGGACCTGCTCCATAAACCTGGAGCTGTACTACAGTCAGGTCTGTCTATTTGTAATCTACACCTTTAGCAGAGCTATCATCAACCCCTAGGAAACCACAGGCTTGTAGGGTGAAATGTTGGCTTTGGCCAGGTTAGGGGACTATACAACCTGAGTCATGTTTCTGAGCACTCGCTTTCACTTTGAAGTTGAAGTACCATAGGAAACACCCCCCCAACATTTACTGTCATGGGAAACTTCAGTTTTGCTTCTAGCTTAAATTTGTCTAGCTTCCAGCTTTTCTAATCTCATTATTCTAAGGTATGACAAGATCCAGAGTCCTTCATTGTAAAGCTACCTAAAATGGTGAGCAAGCTGTCTCTTAACCCACTCTCTCTCTCTCTGCTCAATTAATTAGAACGAGTTTCTTAGTCCAGCTTGCTGGCTGGCAAGTGTTGCAGGCTTCAAATCATTCTCACAGGTCTTTCATAAACCTGCTCCAGGTTTTCAGTATTTTTTTTCTTGTGACGCAGACACTGGAGGGGGACAAAGGCAGCCTGTTCAGCTGCAGACTGATCAGTATGTATTTTATGAGAGTTTACTTTCTCCAGGATTTACCTAGAGCTCTTTCCAAACACTGAATAAATTCTGCAAGTGACAGGCCCTTCAGGTTCCCCCCCCCTTTATTATCTTGCTTCAGCTATTTAAAACAAACTCATTTCCATCAAGTGGAGGCAGAACAGATTAGAAGATTAAATCCATTTACAGAGATGAGTGCTTAGCTGGGCTACAAGTGAGACTTAAAAGAAAAAAAAAAAAAGGGGCAGAAATTTTAACTTGAAACAAATGGAGAGAGAAAATAAACAAGAAACAACCCTTGCACAAATACTACAGAAATAACAGAATGCTTTCAGGGCGGGTTACCCCCGTTAACTGTAGCTCAGCCTCTGCTGCTCACCCTGTCCCAGGCAGGGCTCCTGCACACGTGGCCCATCTCAGACCCCCAGGGGAACATCTCCCTGCTCTGGAGAGCACAATCAAGCCCTAGCAGGGCCTCGGACTTGGCCTTCTGCTCCACTCAGCAGATGAGCCCAGGACTGTTTCTGCTCCCAGGTCCACACCTCCGCTTAATGGCTTTTCTATCCCTCCCACGGGCTGTTGTAGCCCCACAGCCTCAGCCCTGGCTGGCAGAGGTGTGCAGTGCTCCCAGCCACCCTGGCTACTAGCCACTCCCCTTTGTGTTCCTCCTTGCTCATTGTTTCAGACGTTTTGGCCTGGAAAAATGTTGATTCCCTTTTCACCGCTTCTCTCCTGCACGACCTTCCTGACGTCTCGCGGCTCACACTCCTGAGTAAGCTGCACCTCCTCAGAAGGTGGTGGCTGATGAGAAAGGTCATTTGGCTACCAGCTGATGCTTATTTGGACCACCTCGAAGGTCCTTTCTCCAAATGTTGCTTGTGCATTTCGGCCAGTGGCTCCTCACTGGACGTGCCTCAGCAGCTCCTGGAGCAGGACCAGCAGACAGGAGTCCCTGCCCCTCTCCAGGAATCTGCCCCATGAGGTCCCCTCTTGCTTATTCTCTCCCTGGCTCCTTGACAGAGGCTCAGTGTCAGCAGAAAGGAGGGAGGATACTCCATCCTGGCTGGGTGGCTGGCCTGAAGATGAAGGCATGTTGTGAAGGTGCAGACCCATCTGGATGTGGAAGGCCCAGTTCTGGTACCACCCTTTCCTGCAGCACAGCCCAGCAGGGTGTTGTGCAGCAGCACCTGCTCTGGCCCCCCTCACCTCTCCCAGAGAGCTGCCAACAGAAACAGCCCTGGGTTCAGCATCTCCAGATGAGCCCAGGCATTTAGCATAGAGCCCATGAGGTTTCCTCTGCCCAGCTCTTCCAGCCACAGCCTGAAGCAGGAGCTACCTTTGTCTCCAGGCAGCTGGAGGACCTGCTTCCATGGATACAAACACTTAGAGATGTCTCACTGCCTCTGGTGATAAGAAAGAGGCACCCAACTTGGCTGCTCTGATTGGGTTCCTGCAGGACAAGCATTTCAAGCCTTCAATGTCCACCCAGACCAGGTGGTTAGATAACAGCTCCTTGAGATGCTCAAAGCACACCATGAGCTGAAGACAGCACCGAACATTGCATTGCTATGTCTAGAATGGTAAGGGAATGGCACTCAAATATGTAGACACATTACTACTGCTGCATCCTCTTAAATATCTTCCTTGCTACATCTAATGAGCTCTGAGAAGCTTTGAGTGTGTATTTCTTCATAGTGTGCTGCAGTTATTTCTGTCTCAGGTTAATTATAGCAAGGAGAAAACAGAAAAACTTGTGTATGCTAAAGCTGGCTGCAACGTGAAAGCATTTACCTGCTAAACCCCTCTTCAAATAGCACTAAAATGACAGGGCAAAGGGTATGAAAACAACTGCATTTACTCTTTTATCCAAACACTTCCTGATGATTACAGGGTGCTCGACACAAAGGGCTGTGATTTAGAAAGGAAATTGCACTCCAGAGAAGGATTTACTCATCTGTGAGGATATTTATAATCCACGCTCTCCTAGCTAAAAAGGATCATCCTGCACTTTGATAGGAAATGTGAAGAGCAAAGAGCCAGCAAATGAGATCTGCACAGCAGGGTGTGCTTGGAAGCCCTGACCAGTTCCCAGCTCTGTCTCTACTCTGAGTGACTTTAACAGTTTGTTCTCTCTCACAGCCACTGTCTTCTACAATCCTGTCCTTCGCTGCAGCCGTTCCCTCCTGCACAGCCCTGGGGGCTGGGAGCAGTGATGCAGAGCTCTGCTGGGATCTATCTGCAGGGAGCTGCAGCCCCCAGCCCCAAGCCAAAGTCCACAGACACCTCGTGGGCAGAGGGAAGGGCAGAAGGGACAGCCAGGTCCTGGCACCGCCCTGGAGAAGGGCTGGTCAGCACAGCAACGTGTGCTCTGCGTGGAGGATGCGAATGACATCTGCTGCTTGGGAGGCATTCCACAGACTCACAGAGGGGTGCAGGCAAAATGACTCGGGGTGCTCTGAGATCAGACTCTCCAAAGCTACAGAGAGCAAAGCTCAGCACTCAAAAGGCAGGCCCTGCAATGTGAGCAGCACTACCCAGAACCAGATGCTTGTGGCTCCAGCCCGGGCTGCTGAGCCAGTTGTTTCATTTAGTGGGATAAGTGTTTTGTTTTTTCTGGTGAAACATTTTGCCTATTGGAAAGTTTCTCCATGGCGTTTTCAGATCAAAGCCCTCAGACTCCTTTTCAGAGTCCCTCCACGGGGTGTGCAGGAGGGATGTCCTTTTCCAAGGCATTGCTGTTCTCTGGTAGCCAAGAACCAGCTACCACCTTCAGCCAAACACCAGCATATTTTCACTGGGAGAATGCCAGCAGGGAATCCAGATAAAAAAAAACCACACTTTTTTCCCCCCAACCCTTTCCCCAACAGCTGTAATTTTTTTCTTAGCACAGGATGCTAATAAAAGCCATGTTACACCAAAACCACTGCCAGACGAGGGCTACTGGGAGGCTGGTTTTTTTTAAAGCTGCACCAAAGGAAAAATTTCAGCATCCAACTTGCTTGTGACTTGAAGAAACAGAAGCCTATCCCTGTCTTTGTCCTGTCCTGTGGGAGCAGAGATAGATGTGAAGGGCCTGTGCTGGACTCAGGAATATTGGTTCAATCTCTTGTTCCTTCTCTGCTTTTCCCACTATGAGTCCTCGCACTCCCAACATTGCATTTTGCTGATCATAACCACAAAGTTTTGTTTTATGAGCTGTTATACCAGGAAAATGGTATTCTTTGCACCCTATTTGTTAGAACTTGTTTGTGACAGCAAGAGATCAGTAATTAATCCCTCTATTGCTCTTAGCTCCACGCAGCACCCCGAGCATGACCAGCCTTGGGAGCAGAAAAACCAACCCAGACCCTACTCTTGGCAATTTGAGTCCCTTATAAAGCACAGAACAAACAATCATGGAGAGGGAGGGTTTCCTTCAGCCTCCTCCACACCTCCTTTCTCTCCCCAGAGTCTTAAAGCATACCTGAGTAGGTGTTTGTGTGCAGCTAATTGGCCTGAGGAACAGTGTATCTTCAATGGCCCATTGACTGATGAAGTGATTGAAACAAGATGCTAGTTTTAGCTGTTCAGCTTAGCTGTGTCAACACTGGCTTGCTGGGGACTCATGTCCACTGAGCACAACTGTCCAACAGCTCCCTGCAACAGGTCCAGCTTCCAAAAAACCAAACCAACCTACTGACACAGCCTGGAGCTGGAAAGTCAAGTGAAAGGCCCTGAAATAAAAGCCACGAGCTCAAGGCATGGATTGCTTAGGTAGGAGGCAAGGTGAAGGCAGGGGTGGACCTTGTGAATTAAACCTAACGTGTCCTTTTCTAGGCATAAGTGTGTTGTTGCTGGTGGAGCCTCAATAGGAAACAAATGAGGGGAAACTTGGCTAGTGTTGTCAGTCTCCAAGCAAAACAGAAGGAAGTGAGACCATAAGTGTATTGTTGCTGGTGTTAATGATGGTGGAGCCTCAATAGGGAAACAAATGAGGGGAAACTTGGCTAGTGTTGTCAGTCTCCAAGCAAAACAGAAGGAAGTGAGACAGATATTTTGTTTGAAATGTGCTTTACCAGGAGAGACAGTCGAGGTTTCCTTGCAAAGTCTAAACCTGTTCTGAACCCAGCCTTTGAGTATTGATGTTAGTTATAGATCCATTTAGTTAAATTGCCTGAATCAGGCCTAGATTCAGGTTCCTGATGAGGACTCAGTGTCAGGGTGCAGAGGGATGGTGCAGTGCACTGGGACGTGGAATACAAAGAAGGGACAGAAATCTGGATCCAGTATTTAACTTCACACTCTTACACCATCTTGCTGGTACAACCCTTAGGCAGCTGCCTCAGCCTATGTCCCAGTTTATACACCTGGGAAACAGGCCTAACATATTTTTTCTGGGTACTAGGTCTTAATTAAATCTTTTAGGCAGAGTTGGAGGAGAAAATTTTAAAATAAAAATACTAATTCACTAGAAAAGAATATTCTTACCTTCCTACCAGGTGGTCCAGGGAACCCAGTCAAACCAGGCAAGCCCACGTCTCCCTGTAGGAAGCAAAGCTGAATTAGTTTTTAGCAATATTTTCCTTGTGCCTAGTGTCCTGTTACTGAAATCCTGTTGCTGATGGTAGCACCCAACTATTAATATTTCTGATTCTAACAGCAACGCTTCAAAAACTGGCTGGATAAGACGTGTGGATTTAAACAACATCACTATTAACTGGCTCATATAAATAATAAACCCAGTTAATTAATGGCAGCTGCTTTTTGCCAGCAGAATGAATGCTTTTGTTTTTGTCAATGATCTCATTCAGTCACATGCTTCATTCGCCTCTTGATAGGCATTTAAATCGCCAAGGCAAAAAAAATTTAGCTTTTAAATGCAAGAATAACAATAGGAACCTCCTGTCCAATGCTGTGACTCTGCTCACACTCTACTACTGCACTGGCCCAGCCCACAGCTCCAGTCCCAACGGGGTCAATGCTGCAATTCTTTAACCTGCCTGTATGACATGGACTGGACCTTTGCAGGCTGCTGGTGGGAGGGTTGTTTCAGTGTTCTATACTTCTGAAAAGGATTTGCATCACACCCCAGCTGGCATACCCAAACTGTCACAGGAACAGAGGAGTACATTATGGTGGGATCTCCCTAATATCCAATCCATTTGCACAAGCCCATTTTGGCCTCCTCTGATGAGGATTAAAAAACCCTTTAGTCTCTAACACTGGTCTGTGCCTGCTTATTGAAAATGCATTTGGAGTATCTAGCTTGAAAATTAGGCATCACTCCAAACTCCTGCTGGAAACTCCTTGTTTCTATTACTGTTAACAGGGATAAAGCCTTGTTAACATGAGCTAAAAGTGATGTGGACCTCTCCCTTTCTCACACTGAGCATGCCTGCAAGAAAACTGTTCCAGACTCTGCGGGTGGATGGTTTCCATCTGATGCCATTCTGGTGTAGTGTACCAGAAATTTCAAAAGGCATCCCGTGCTGTTGAGTTAAAAGCATCATTTCAGACTTGGCTTTCTCAATGTTCTCTAGTGTCACCCTCCATCTTGCATTTGTGTGGCTTGCTCTGCTTCATGGAGGCGTCTGGCTCCAAATGAAGGGCCTAAGATCCTCATGGCTGATGCTTTCCATTAGCTGAGCATTTATAGCAGGGCTTATGATGAAAGGAAGAGAACCAGACTTCATGCCCTGGACGTGAGTTATGAAGTATTGTGCAGACACCACTGAAAGAACTAACTGAGGTGGGTGTTGTGGAGCCCTGATCACTCTACTATTCATTTCTAGACCTCTGTGAGGCCTTGTTGCACCAGTAAAAATCATTCAGCTGTGAAACAGCAAAAATGGGAGTCCTAATTTATTGAAAAGAATTAGCAGAACTCTGATCCTTAATGATTGCTAATTCCAGAAACCAGCTACACTTCCAGGTTATGTGTGTTGTGTTCATTTGAGAAGATGTTGGTGGAAAGGCTTCTGTTTATCCCACAGCAGTGTCCATCTGCTGGCAGAGCAATGGTCTCAGAAGCAGCCCTTTCTCCACTGGTGGGACAGCAAAGCTGCTCTCATAGCAGTCATCTGCATGTGTGACATGAGACAAATCACTTCTTCTCAGCTCCTTGGCAAGAACATCCTTTCTCTTGCCTTCAAGGGTTTTACTGCTTACACTGGGATTGGCTCTTTCTACAGCTGCATGCTCAGAGTGGACAGGGTGGCTGTCCCTCATATGTGCTGCTTTAAATACTTTGCTTGAGTAGCCACACACCTACAGGAGCTCTGAATGTTAGGGTGCAGATAGTGCATAAAATGGATAAACACTTGGACAACAAAATCTGTGGCAGCAGCCACATCAGGGCACTGTGCTCAACACCTCAATACCTTAGCTAACTCTCTTGAATCCAGGGTCTAAGTCTTAGTTTTCAGTCCTAAGACTACCTGGGTAGCTGTGATGCTTGTGCTGCAGGATGGGCTCACTCCATGTGTCTGCACAGGGCTTAGAGCACACCATGGCTGTGATGCCCGTGCACTCTGGGCAACCTCTCACCTTCTGTCCATTGCGAGCTTTCCCAGGAGACAGCCCAGGATCACCCTTCTGACCCTGCAAGGGAAAACTTAAATTAATGCCATAATCCAAGGACCCAGCCCACGGAGGTGGTTCTGCTTCCACCAAACCTCCAATTTAGAAAAACATTTCATCTCTGCCTTGCCCTGACATCCCAAATGTATTAAAGTTCCTGGGTGTAGCTGTTTTGCTGGGGGTGGTTTTGGTGAGTGATTGCTGCTGCTAAAGCACTGAGTTTTAAATAGTATTTGACAGTATTAAATTGACTAAAAAAAGGATAACTGGAAGAAGGCAATGTCAGGACTTTTGATACTTATTAGACCAGACAGCTGTGATTTCTTCCTTGTCTGCAAGTGCCATCTCAAGAATAATTACCAAGCCTATTACTGTGGCTAAACCATCCTTCTTAACAACTTGCTAGATGCTGTTGCTTCTTTTAACTGTGGGGAATAGCTGAAACTGCAGGGAAAGTTACACTAATTAGGCACTGCCAACAGCCAGAGTGATTGTGAGGCTCTCAGGCTGGCAGGAGGAGGAGGCACACTTCATCTGAAGTGGCAGTATCCCTTATTGCCCTTTTTAACAACTGTGACGAGAGAAATTACAATTTAAGACCATGATCTTGTGACCAACACAAGCTGGAATTTCAGCAGCAGTTGAACATCTAACTCCAGTAGATTCCTTTGAAAATCCCAAATTCTTAGAAGGTGGAAAGGTAATGTGTGCACCTAACAGGGAAATAGAGATAAGCAGGAAAAACTGGAAGAGATGTGAAGTGTGCCAGATTCTTTGGGCAGAGAGGTAAGGTGTCACACACAAAGCAGCTTAGGTCTGTGTAACATCTCCTCTGGCACAGCTAGGACAGGTATCCCAGTATCAGGCACTGATTATTTAACACCTCTGGGATCATAAACAAGTAGCAATCTCTCTATGCCACATCAGCAGCACAGGATTCAAAACCAGCTGCTAAGCACACGACAGTTGTGAGGGTGAATTCATGGCTGTCAAGTGAAGTGCTTGAAGGAAGGTCAACCCTACAAAGGAGTAACAGTATTTATTAAGTGGTGTTTCTCATTAGCAGCACAAAGGTCTAGTTATAGTGAGCTGAGCAGCTTTTCTGTGCTACATTTGACACATACTTCCCACCTTGCACTGAGTGTAAATCTCCCCTTCTTCTCCACCACCATCCACCACAAGCTGCAAGGTTCAGGGAGTGAGTTTGGCTGTGGACTGTAGGGAGCACTGCTGATTCAAGGCAGATGCATCTGTACAACTTGTGAATGGAGGCTGCCTGCTTTCCACACGGCGTATGAAGTCATGCAGATAATCTTGGTTTGCATGCAGCTGTTATCAGGGCAATTCTCCCACTCTCTGAGCTTCAGAGCCATCAGTGGGTGCTACGACTGCTTGGAACAGATCAGAGCAGTCCACAGGACTGCAGGGTGTTCATCTCTACTCTGCAAAATTAATCTACTACAACAGATAGACACCCACCACTCTTCCTCAGTCTTGCCATGGGCTCAGTGCAATGACTTGAGCCATGGAAAGGACTATAAGCCTCTAACATTTTTTACCAGGAAGCTCTAGATCCCATTAACAAAGACTGTGCTTTGCATCACTGTTCCACGTTCAACAGCACAGAGTCCGTGGCATGGGTGGAGAACTCAGCCACAAGCAGGATCACACATCCCTAAGATTAATCAGCAAGATGGCATCAGGGCCAGAGAGAAGGGATGCCTGGATGAAATTGAGGATTAATTGCCCAGCTCTTCTCGTGCAGCAGCCACAACACAGGAATTAGCCTAAGCCTTGTCCATCACTAAGCTGCAGCTCCGTGCCCACAAGCTGCTCTCTCTCCCATCCCAGCTGACTGAGCACTCTACTTCCCCTTGTAAAGAAAGGAATTGTTCTCTTCTGCTTTTTTCCCTACCTGGGAGAAGTCTAGAGCTGTGCCATTTAAACACCTCAGCTCTGCAATCCCACTAATAGTATTTTAAGTATCAGTGAGCCAAACTGATGAGCTATCTTGGAGCCAAACCATTCCCTAAAAGGAAAATTCCATTTCTCCTAGCACTATAACAGGAGAGATTTATCCAGAGCAGCAAACTAAGCAAACCACACTAATGCCTGATGCCAAAAGCCTCCAGATGGGAGATGCAAACCCAGCTCTTGTAATGGCTTTTGAAAACTCACCCTGTCTGACAGCTAACCTTCATCCCAATCCCAAACTCTATTAGGGCATTCTTGGCAGCACAAACACCCCTCCTGCCCCTCCAGCAGCTTGCAGGTCACACAGCCAGTCACAGCCCTAGCCCAACATCTGTCTACAGTCATTTAGAGGTTATCTACTATAATCAGTCTTTGCTAACTAGATGCAATAGCGATTTTGTAACTGCCAAGGACAACAAAGAGTTTGGAAGAAGTGGCAAGAAGTCCCCTTTAAGGAGTTGCACATTATAAATAGCTGAGAAAAGCACCATGGGCTAAATTCTCAGGTGGCACGAGCGGGGGTAATGTCACTGGAGGCAGTGGAACCATGCCCAAGCAGATCAGCAGGAACAGCTCTGTGCAAAAGATCAGCTTCCTAAGAACAAGGAATTACAAGTGCTCAGCTCCAGTGACGAGAAGAAGATGGACTCTGGACAGGACAGAGTCAGAAATGCAGGAGACCAACAGCAGCACTGGTGCTCACCACCACAACCTGACTCAGCAGAGAGGTGCACGAGCACACTGCTCCAGCAGCCCTGCCACCCAGTGTCCCTCCTGCACATCCCAACCCCTGAGCTTAGCAGGGCTCTGTTCATTCAGCTGGTAAAAATGATGCTCCCGGGCTACTGCCTAAGTGACAAGGACCTGGTGTTAGTCATGCTTTCCAGGCTGTATCTATCTGGGAAACTTCAGTTTCCTCTCTTGGATTGTTTGTTTTTTCCATGGTATTAACTGCTATCTAGGGAAGACCCGATCCAGCAGCCACTTGAAAGCTCTCAGGAAGAGAAGTTCTAGTTGGGGTTGCTCTGCCTTGTTACTCAAGCTGAACTTTCTCAAGTCCCTAATTTTGCTGTGGGCTGGGTGTGCTAAGAAGCTCTCAGGTCCCAGGTGCAGGCTTGTCAAGCCTGCTGAAGGGTAGAGGTATTCAAAATGTAAGGGGGTAAAATATCACTTTCTTTGGTGCTAAGTCCATCTTCAGGGAGTGGTGTAACACCAGAGAAATGAGGGGAAGGATGGAAATGAAAACTCTGGGACCTTATGCACACCTTCCAGAAAGTGCTTCTTGTGCAAAGATCTTGCAGTCACGGCTTACCAGACTGTCCCAGCTAGAGCTGAGGTTATGCTCAGACCTGGGCTGAGCTACACTCTCACACCCCACTGCAAACTTAACCCTTCTTTTGTTAAAGCATCGTGTAGAACATCCCAATTCTGCAAATGATGGCTGGACAAAATGAAAATATATCACACAGACTGATGACACCAGATCTCTGCTGAGGAGTGTTACAGCTATCCAGCCATCGGGGGCTTCCTGCTGCCAGACCATGCATCCAGATGGAGGAAAAATGCTTACAGGAGGATCTTATTTCTAGTAAGAGACCAACTGAACACAGCTATGCAGCCAAATAATGATTTCTGACAAGGCGTTAGGCTAAAAGTTTTTTTTTTAAAAAAAATCCTGTAGCACAGAAACATAGTTTGACTCTACAGATGGGACCAGGCTGAATTTGCAGGACTGGAAGTTAGATAAAAGAACTTTGATTTGACTTATAAAACTCAACAAGTGCGATCTGGAAGTCATTGGTGGAGAATAAATGCAGAATGCTAAGATGTAGAACTTTTACAGCCTCACTTTGCAGGCCATATAGCTGCACTTCAGAATTTAAAACAGCTGCTGTTCACCAGCATGTCGCCAGTGCCTAATTTTTAATCATGTAGAGGCAGCACGCCAAGTTTCCAGAATCTTTTTCCCAGAGCATCAATAGCATTCATAACATCTCTGCCTGCTGAGGAGATCATGACAAGAAAGGATTCTTGTTTGTACCTTTATCTGTGTTCGGCTGAGACATCCTACAGCTTCATACTGAAAACTTCTGTGAAGCATTGCCTTTCCAAACTCAACTATTTTTAGTCCCAGATATATGTTCTAGAATATAAATCTATTTCAGTGTAAGCAGTGACACCAGAACCATCCAAACTGCTTTCCCAGGAACTTCACAATCTTTAGGTAACACAAAGACTTGTACACTGGAATGAGCTGGGAATTCAAACACCTTTCTGAAGGGTTTTGCAGCACACTGGATTAGCTCCTCTCTGGGGCTGCAGCTTTGCTAAAGCCCCATGCAAAGGGAGGAGGTTTAGCTGGGGGGGTGACTCCCACCTTGCAGGACTCCAGCTCCCACCCAGATGCAACACCCCGGGGAAAATGTGTGTGCAGGAGAAAAGGGCAAAACACAGGCTCCTGGCACTGCTGGGGGAGGTCTGCAAGACCTCACAGGGGAGATGAGGACTTCTGGAAGGAAGTAAGGGGATAATTCTGGGAGGGCTGATGAAGGTCAGGGTTCCCAGAAACCCTGGAGAGCAAAGGAGAGATGAAGGAGCTTCAGGAGGAAGAAGGCAGAGGAAGAAGCTGGGTGCTGCCAGTCCCTCCCCCCTCACTGTCCAGCCCCAAAGGTGGAGGAGTAGGCTGCAAAATCCAGAGAAGAGAAATGAGAAAGCAAAAAAATCTGGTCCTGGTGAGGCTCTGGAGTGGAAGGATTCCACTGCCCGTGTCTCAACATAGCAGTTTTCTCCCTGGCACAGGCATAGCTTAAGCAGGATCCTAATTAAGGCATAACTTAAGCAGGATCCTAATTAGGCAGTCTGTGAAATGAGGGAGAACCAGGAACCACAGCACACAGCAGGGTCCCTCACAAGCACAGGAAAAGGCTTTGGCCGGGCTGCTGTGCAAGCCAAGGGGAGGAACAGCTTCAGCTACTCCTGGTTCTGCATGGAGCAGGATAAAAACCCCTCTGCCTCTCCCCCTGGGATGTCCCCTGAAGCAGGACAGCAGAGGTTCCTCACACCAAATCAATACTTACTTTCAGGCCTGGGGGGCCAGGTAAGCCAGGGTTTCCATGGGGACCTGGGGGACCCTATAAAACACAACAAACACAAAATAGAGTCAAAAGGAGTCAGTGGGGACCTGTGTTAGTCCTGTTGGCTGCAGAAAGTCTGGGGCTGGGGCAAGATCTAACATCACAACACCCACAGCCTGCAGAGAACTTCCCCGGGACCCTCGGAACTGTCTTGGACAGGAGAAACTTGGCTGCTGATTCCCACCTACCTTCATGGAAGGGACTGTGTGTCTGTCACCTCAAGATACATCATGACAAAGAGACAAATATTCCACAACCAGGAAGAGAAGGTTCCTTGGGGTCAGGGGAGTCAAAGCTCTGCAGGGAGCCCCAGCAGAAAGAGATGGAGGTAGGCAGAGGGGAGTGAAAGTGTGCGGGGGTGTTAACAATTATTTTGGCCAAAATAGAAGAGAAGAGAGGTAATTACTAAAAGGGAAATTGTTCAGCTATTTAGGATGAACTCATTTCCTCTACAAGACAACCAGGTTTTTGACTTTAGAGGTTAGAAAAAGAACGGATGGCCAGGCAGTAAAACAGGGGAAGCAGAAGTAAGTCTCTGTTGAAACCATTTAACTCTGTGTTCTTGCACAGGTCTCACAAGGCGATGATACAGCAGCATCTCCTTTTACATCAGATTTTAAAAGCACCCTGCATCTTTTCCAAAGACTATTTAAGGAGTTATCTGGAATAAGCAGCTAAGAATAGTTTACCCCAGGACTGTATACAGCACGGAAGATCTGTTAACCTTTCAGCAGAAGGAATAACAGTTCTAAGTCCTCTTGAACACGTTCCTGGGAGATGAAACAACCTGAAGACTCAATTCCAAGGGCTCCAGTTTTGCCAAGATTGCGTGTGAGCTTTACACCACCCTGAGCAGCACTGTAGTGTACCCTCTAGTTAGAAGGAGTATGGACAAGGGGATTAAAAAGCCACTCAGATGCCTTCTCAGTAACCTGCAGTATTTCCAAAGAGCATTTCAACATATGTAGGACCAAAATCTTCAGGGTCTGATTTCCAAGGAAAATCACTGCTGTTAAATGAGAGTGCCACACAAGTTCATTGCCCTTCCTCTCTTCTGAGAGAACACCAGTGTGCTGGTGTCTATTCAGCTTTATTTTCACTGCACTGTAATAGGAAATAACAGCTTTTTTTATTTAGCTGTGGTATCTTGTGGTATAGGCAGCTGTTGACTGCCCAGTGCTGTTTCACAACACACGCTGCTCTGCTCTAAGAGGCTGTTCAATTAAAAGGCTGAGGGTGAACTTTTCAAATTGCATTTTTAACCCAAATAAATTTAACATCCCATCCTTAAATTCCTTCCAAATTTTCAGCCTGAAACCAAACACATTTATTGTCCCACTCTTAATTTCTTTCTACATTTTCAGCTTGAAATTCCCCAAGAGTTTAGCCTGGCTGTGAATTTCCAAGGAAACTGAAAAAACTTCAATTAAAATTAAGGTGTATAAGTATCTACTTGAAAACCCACATAGCTGCTGTAACCAGAGTAACTGAGCACTGTGGAGTCTCAGATAAATTCATCTTCCCAGCAAACTGTGGCATCATCTGTTCACCTCATTGAGTGGGACATGGAAACACAGACTAAGTGTGCTGCTTAGGGTAATTCAGCAAGTCTGTGGAAGCAAAAGGTCTTCTGAGTCTCAAATATGTATGAAAATTAATATCAAGTGACTGAAATCAGAACAGTAAAGTCTCTATGACAGATGAGTTCCTAAAACGCTCTTACACGTAAGCAATAATCTAGGTAGCTCTGAACTGAGTTCATAAATCCAGACTGCTGCTAGATTTGAGAAGGGGATTCAGCTGTAATTCAGCTTTGGAGACAGGCAGCTTGGCTGGAAGCCCATTTCAGTGCAGTAAGTTGAAATCTGTGCTGCACCATAGCCTGGGGCAAGCACAAACCCCTGCCAGACTGCAGGGAACAGCGTGGTTTGGTGTGACTCCTGGCTGAAAACACAGTTGCCAGGAAGAAACCTGGAACATAGGAAGCTCAGCTGCTGATCAAGAGCTCCTGGATAAGTGACTAATCACACCTCCAGCAAAATTTAGTGCAGGCTCTTCCAGAGCTAAAGCAAAGCACAGCAACAAAATCATGAACAAAATCATGAATCTTTAACCAAATGGATGGAAGAAAAGAGAAAGAATCTAGTCCTAGTATCCAGTGATAAAACACATGATGATGAAAAACACAGGTTCTTGACATAGGATGGAACCTCTACCACTGAATTCACTGAGACTCATAGCGTGTGATCCAGCCAAAGGAAAGTCAGAGACTCATCCTGTTCCTAAAGATCCATGTGGTATTTTGCCAGTGAGAAGTGGCCACATCCTGCTGACGAAGTGACGGTGGGAAGAGCCCAGTCTGGCACACATGAAACTGCTGTAACCAAGTCTGGGGCTTCTGCTAGACAGTTCACACTACTCTAACTGTAGAGAGAGAAGGGCGTAGTCTGGCAGTAGTCCTAAAAGATGGCAAAAAAAACCCTGATCTTGATGTGTTCCAACATGGTTAGTCCTAAATCTGTGATTACACCCACATTCTTGGCAGGGGAGGAAGATGCAGCGTGGTACAGTTAGATGGGCTGAGTAGCAAAAGGTACAGGACAGCATCTGCCTCAGGAGCTGTGAGCAACACAAGATCTGAACTGGCAGGCCTTACTCACTAATCCATGCACCAATCTGCAAGCCCAAAGAACAGTCATCGTGCCCCAGGGCTTTATTACATCTGGTCCACTACTGATTCCTCCTCTCTTACTGTGCCCAGCAGAACCACCCAGCTCCAGCCACTGGTCCCATACCTGGCCCTCGTTTCATGGGGAAGCAATTCAAGAGTTAATTGCTGTCTAGTTCTAGAGTTAACTGCTGTATTTTGCTCATACTACCCTGGGTTTAATTTGATGTCCCACTCATATCTAGACATTGGGATTCTCATAGATGTATTTAACATCAGTACATAAATTCTCCTTCTCTTTTCTAAGCACAGGATGGGACAAAGCTGAGACCACTGAGTAAAAATGATTCCCAGAGCACATGTTGCCCTCTGCACATGTGCCTGTTCACCCACCTGCTTCACCTCCTGCACCACTGCTGAAACAACCCAACCTAGCAGCAGGCAAACTTCCATCTGAAACCTTCCCAGCCTTGCAGCAGAAATTCCATGGAAAATTTTGCTAGGGGACAGCAGTAGCCCAGGGCTCAGTGGCACGGAGACCAGAACAATCCCTGAATGTGTTCTGGGAGTGAGGAGGGGTCTCCCAAAGGTGACGGGGTTTGTCATGTCCCTGGAATGTCCTTGACTTGAACGATGCTACTTGAGAACCACACTGTGCCATCTAGTTCATCTCAGTGACGTGCCTGGAGATGGGACCCTGCTCACAGAAGCCCTTTTATGCCTAACAGTTCACAGCCTGCAAAATTAACAAAAGTGTAACTGTGCCCAGCTCTCCCCATCCCTCCAGCATTCACAAGGAGAGGAAAAAAAAAATCCTCCCAAACTCCAGCTAAATACTAGAAAGCCTCAGTCAGAGCCATGGCTGCTTATTCCAAACTCATTATGTCTTGGGGTTTCACCACGTAGAGCAACTTTTTTCTGCTCCTGACCTACAGATCCCACTCTGACCTCTGGCTTGCTGAAAAATGAGCTAAATATTTGAAGTGAAGCCAAACAAACTGTTTCTTTAAACGTTTCTTTTCAGAAACTGGAAAATCTTCCTCATGGAATGAGGGTACCAGGGAACCTCCACAGCTGACCAAGTTCTTGCTTGTTTTAGGAGGGAAGTCCTGCATTTTGAAGGAAAGGGAGATTTTTTGCAACTGTAGACCAAATGTAACAGGGACATGTTACAGTGGGACCCTGCGATCTTTCAAGCTGCCAAGGTTCACAGGAGGATGGCAAGAGCATCCCAGAGCAGCAGGGAGTGCATACATACTCTCTTCACCCATCCATTTGGATTTCTCCTATGTTGTATCAGCACAGAGAGACTGACTGAAATGAAGAGCAATTGCAGCATGCCTAGGCTTTAATTCCCAGTCCTGCCTCCGACCTGGTGCACGGACATGGGTATTTACACAGCACTCATCTGGAAGGCAGCCTTTAAGACCAAGTGTCATGGATCATGGTATTTTTCTGCAGACCTGATTAAATTGTGGGTAGTTTGCTGGTCTGACTATACCAGAGAGGACTGGAATGAGCCACAGTTTGGGATCTACAGAGATGTGCTGGCAAAAGCCCCTCCTGCAGACAGCATGGAGTGAAGCTAATCGAGTCCTGGGTGAGGCAGGAATAAGCTACAATGCTTCAGAAGTTATTGCTCCACTGGGAGCCCTTTGTTGACAGTTACTTGTAGAGCTTGTTAGCACAGCTCTGCCAGCAAAGCCCCAGCCTCTGCCACTGCCTCCCCACTGAACCTTGGTGTTTGCAGAAGTGCAAGGGTCACCTGCAGAAAAGAGGTGCAGCACACAGGGCTCTGCTCAGGCTGCTCTGTGGGCGCTCACGTGCCACTGCTCACACACACAGCCATGGAGGAGTTGTCCCACCACATGCCTGGCAAAGTGCTTCCACACCATGTGAAGCTGGAGAAGCCCTTCGTTGCTAGACCTTCCTTCAGGAGGCACCTCCAGCCTTACACAGGCACTCGTCTGGGCACACAGCACACTGATTTGAGGAGAAATGGTGTGGACAGACCTCTTGCTCATGGCTCAGATTCTTTAAAGGAGCCATAAAAGCTGAATACTAGCCTAGCTGGATAGAGACAAAGTCTTCCTGTGAAGGACATGTGACCAACACACCAATATCTGTATGGGTTTGCAGAGCCCCTGAGAAAGTGTTACCAGGACTGCAACGTTCACTCCTTTCCCTTGGGGCCCTGAAGGCAATAATGAGAAGAAACACCCACCTTTCAGCTGCTTTATATCTCTACCTTCATAGTTGCAGAGTAAAGCTTAGATATAGCCCTGGGACCCTGGTGCTGAGTGATAGGGTGTAAAATTAATTCCATGTTCCTAAAATAGGGACTGGTGTTTAAAAATCATGAAATTGTAATTTTCAAGAAAAATGCTGCTATCCACTTAGCTCCCCTCCCTTGGCTTGCACCAGAATGCTGAGATGTGTCCTGACCACAGCCTCTTTCAAGCTTTGACAAAGACTAGCATTTGTTCTTGCAAACCAGGTGGCATTGCTTACATGGAAGAGCAACATCCAGACTGCACAGGCAAGTCTAGTGATGCTTATCTGCTGCAAACAGGGCAACAGAACCATGGGACCAGCCAGCTTTCCTTACAGACTATCACTGACCACAATCTCACCCTCCAAGCAAAAGTTAATCAGCTCTTTCGTTTTACCCTGCCCAATATGGGGGGAGAAAGGGAAATAAAGCAGAGACCACACGGGATTCAAAGGAGTGGAAACACTACACAGCAAGAGAGCAACTTTATGGACTTGACAGCTACAGAAGGTCATGAAAGTCTGCTACTAGATTTTCAAATGAGCCAAGTAATTGTATAAGCACTAATAATGTAGAAATTATGCAAGGAAGGTACAATAAGGGCAATAGTGTCTCACGCTTTAGGCCATAAACTGCATGGGTGACAAGAAAAAAACCCTTCCTTTCCCCAGGCACCCAGCCCTGCAGAGTTACAAGTGATATTCACCTCCTTTCAGAGCTCAAATCTTGGGCTGGAGCTTCGTGCAACACTTGATGGGTTACTCACAGGTTAGTTGTGGTAAGAACTCTGCAGCTGCTTTGTTTGAGGATCAGGAAGAGGTAGGAAACAACCCCTGCTGTGTTGCAAGTTTATTTTTAAATGGCTCATGCACAACAAAAGCAAAAGATGCAAGAATTCCCCTTAGCCTGTCTTAGCCTTTGGCAGCTCCTCTTCCTTGCAATGAAATCCTTAAACCCCAAAGAGCCACAAGAAAAAAAAAATACTAGAAGAAACACGTTGCAAAGTCAAAACAACTTAAACACAGAGCAGTTCTGTCTCCAGTACTCCAGGCCAGACATTTACAGAGTGACCCTTTTGCCCCCTCCCAAAATTAGCACAGCATCTTTGCAGAGGTCCGAGCCAAGCCAGGCTCAGCTGTGTTGAGCATTTCCTAACTGGGAACTCTTTCCTGGGCTGATTCTCAGCACCTCTGGCAGGGACTGAACTCAGAAATCCTCTGCTGCTTATTGTCTTTCAGAGGTTCATCTGAACTATAGGATGGAGCATGCCACAGCTGGGGAATGGCAAAGTTATGACACAGCTTCCATAGCAGTTATTTTTCTTCAGAAAAACTCAGGTTTTGGTGGCTAGTGGAACTCAGAGGTAGAGCTTCACACAGCAGGCAGGGGATGCAGCTGGGGTCTCCACGTATGGAATTGAGTTTGCACACCACAGGATTGCAGAAGAGGCACCAAACCCCTCTCGTGAATAATAAGCTGGGGTAAGAACAAATTTTAAGCCTTAAGGGGACTTGCCAAGAACTGCAAACTCTGGGCAATTTGCTGGTGTGGTGGCTGCTCAGGTATTTGTAAGCAAAGGACTTTGGGGCTGTACCACCAGTCATGCTGATGTTATGTACTAAAGAACATAACCTGAAGTGGAACAGATTGTCCCGTCTATAAAACACGTCAGCCTGGTGCTAGTGCCTTACACTTACAGCCCAAATCAGTGCTCAGGGCTGTGGATATCCCTGCCCAGGCTCCAGCAGGTCCTGCAGAGCTTTTGGTTGTTACAGTTGTAGGAAGGAGGTGTGTTTATCTCACAGGACTGTACCGAGTGTCCTGGGGGAAGGCACAGCCTTCTAGCTCTCAGCCTCTTGGTTGTTCTTTAAAGACATTACGTGGGGTTGAGTTTTAGCCAAGTATGTGTGAGGAAATCTCTCTTTGCTGCCAGGCCAGGATGCTGCCTGGATCACAGATCCAAACATTCCCTTCTTCCAGCCTCAGACACTTGCACCTCTTGACTCCCAACCCACATCAGTTCAGTGCTCAGGAAATGGGCTCCATGACCATACCTCGTGGGACAGCACCATGCTACCATGAGAACGGTGCCAGCACTTAAGTGTATCCAGGTCAGGCATGTTGCCCAGCCTTGGGAGACTACTTCTGCAGCTAGGCCAATGCAGAAAGCTTTTAGCTGTGAGAAAGCTGCAGCACTCAGCACCAGATGTTTCCTCAATGCAGCACTCAACGTCTGAAGACCAGCATCAGAATTTAATGTGGGGAGCAAGAAACTCATAAATCTGCAATGGATCTCGTAGAACAACAAAGATGTTTTGCTCTAGATCTTGAAAAGGAGTCAGAAAGCAGGTCTCAGTCTGGGGAACAGAAAACCTCATCCTGGTGTGTCGACCTAGATCATGGTCCCACTAGTGGAAGCATAGTGACAGTCAGGACCTCAAAGGGAGCAATCTGGGAAGCTGGGGAGGGTGAAGGACAGAACAAAAAGCAACCAAAACTGTTATTAACATTGGGTTTGCAAGAAGAAATGGATACTGGAAATAAATGACACAGTCCTCATTCTTCTGACAGCCATTTAGAAACATTGGCCCCCAGCCTTTGCTGAGGCCCAGCCTTAGCTCAGGGAGGCTGCAAATCACCAGTGTCATCCTGAAAACCCTTCACAGGGAATGAGGGAAAGGAGGAAGGCCAGACCTCAACAGTTCAGCTTGAAGCAATTGTTAGTCAGCCACAGGACCATACAACAGCCCTTGGAACAGCAGGACATGCAGATACAAGTACAAAGGACAGAAAATGTTAAGCTGCTTACTCGGGAGCCTCTCTTGCCAGGTGGTCCTGGTAAGCCCGGCAGACCTGGTGGACCCTAGGAAAACAAAAATAAGTATTATTGACAGTTCTATAACAGGATTGTGCTCCTGACAGTGTTTCAGAGAGACCCATAACACAACCATTTGGAGAAGACCTGGAGAGAAGGGCCACTTACAACCCCAGGGCCAGAATTTCCCTTCAGCTTATGCTGTTACTATAAGGGATAAAAATGCAGGCGCAGTAACATCTGCAGCAGCCTGTGCTTCCACTGGGTAGAGACTGCTCACATCGTCCTGCTCGGGCTGCATTCCTGTGATCCCAGCTGTGTTTCCTGCTTCCCCTCTCCTGGACTCGTGCTGTAACACAGGGGTAGGTAACACAACCCTCCCCCAGCTCTGGAGTTTCCTGCCATGTGCTAGCACACAACAGGAGCAAAGTGTTAGCACCTTGGCGAGGGAGGGACGTTGTGTGTGGTTACACATACATACATATATCAGCTCATATAGCTCTTGGTATTGTAGGTTCCTACACGAGTTGCAACGTAATCTCATCCCAGCACTTCATATTTTAAAATGCTGTGTTATAAAAATCCTTAAATATGGCTCAGTAGTGTAGGAGAGGCCAACTCATACATGTCAGAGTAGTGGGGGTTCCTGGAAAAGGGTGAGAACAAAGTGGAGATATCAGGCCCCCAGCTGTGGACTGATCTGAAATGGGTTAGGAGAGGAATACTTAGCTAATGAGGTTTGAACTCCTTTGAATTTATTCATTTATTTATTCATTTTTTTTTCAATGGACCGGAGAATTTGGATTTCTGGAAAGCCATCTGCAACCCTAACTCCTCCTCAAATCTTCTTTTCCCCCAAGCCAAATATGTCTAACAAGAATAACTGTTAATTAAAGTGTCTCCCAGAGGATTTATGTTCCAGTAGCTTGCTACAAAAGACAAGTTTTCATTGAGTCCAGGGGGGAGAGAGATGCACAGCAGCCGGCTGAAGGATGTCTGGAAGGCAGCCCGAGCTCTCCAACTGCATGGAGGGCAGGAGCAAGGCTCCATGGGGGGAGATGGGTGCATTGCACGAGTGGGTGCATTGCACGAGTGGGTGCAGCGACAGCCCTGGGACTCTGTCCTGACCCCATCACAGCCTCAGTCCCTCCCCAGTGGGTCATCTCTGTCAGACCTCACATGTGTGGTGGTCCCGAGTGGAGCCTGCTGACCCTGCTGCTGCTGCAGGACTGCCAGCAGAGCTGCTCAGGCTCTGAGGTGTGCTGCTGGCTCTGAGGAAGGGGGAAAAGTTCATGATCTCTAATGCAGTTTGCAGGAGTCATCAAGTGCATGATTTAATAACAATAAAACCAAACCCTGGAAATCCTTACCCTAAATCTCATGCCCAGGATAAGATTTGGAAAAGAAAAAACTTGCCTGAACCATCTAGGTAACCAGTGAATAAACATTTCCCTAATATTACCAACAAATTAATTTGTGTAAAAGAGATCTTTTAAAAAATTACATCCAGTCAAACTTGGCACAGTAGGAAAAAAATCAGGAGAGGAGTAAGCAAAGTCCAGGGCAGGTCTCTGTGCTACTAACTTGTCAGGAGATCAAACGAATCCTAAGTTTGGTTTTGGTCTGTTGGTTCTATCTATAGTAAAGATGCCAAGAAAAGGGTTATTTTAAAAGTCTAAGAGCCTACACAGCACAGAACAGCTAATGCCCCACACTGAGACACACGGGGATGGACTCCTGCCCTGTCACTCAATGCCACTACCCAACACTGCTGCCTGTCCTGGAGACTTCCAGTCTCTATAGCCTGGGACACTTCATCTGACCCCTCTGCAAGTGGCTTATTGCTGGCTAACACAGGACTACTGGTCCTTGCATTAACAACCCTCATTGATAGAGCTGACCCTCATTTTAGCAATATCCACAGCATTTTAACCTGCCATTGTGCCAGCTCAGGGCCCCGTGCATAATGCAATTACAGAGCTGTGCAAATAGACACATGGGCGTAGGGGTTTTAAAGCCTCGTGCATAATTGTGCTCCAGAATCCAAGCTTTTATTAAAAAAATCCCCTTGCCCTTTTAGTTGGGAAGATAGCTATCAACACGGATGCAGCTGATGCAGGAACAGATAATAGAGTTTACCAAAGATTAGTTCAAGTCTTTAACCTCTTCCCCACCAAAACCCATCCCCATTCACCCCCAGGAGAAGTAAAAGAGGAGATGCAACCATCAGAGAGCTGCGTTCCCCATGCACCAGAGCTGAGGTGACATTTCCCACCTTCCTGCTAACAGCAGCTGCAACTGTACTTGGCCACTTGAGCAAAAACCCTCTCCAAATGGGTGGGCTGCTCAGAATAAACTGAAGCTAACAAAAATAAGGAGAGAGTCAATACCTGCTCTGGAGTGGGAATATAGGGTTAAAGGAAATGTGTTTAGCTGGACCAGCACAGAAAGAGCAGTATGTAATTCAGGAGTCACTCTCAATTTGCTTTGGTTTAATTTGCCTTTCCTTCATCCTTTTTTTTTTTCTTTTTCCTTTTTTTTCCTCTCCTGAAGAGTAAGAGGAATAAGGTGACTGTGGGATGAGTAGCTAAAAGGTGCCAGCCACTATGGTGACAGCATAAGGCAAGAGTGTGACCACACATGGGAGGCCTGGGGTAGCTGGGTGAACAGGTAACTCCTTTCTCTCTGCCCTGTCCACGTGCCTCTGCACCATCCAGCTCAAGTTCCTGAGCAAGAGGCCCACGTCAGGCTTTGCCTGGGGAGAGCAAGACTGCAACACACCCCAAACAAAACCCACATCTGCAGAGGCAGCCAGAGAACAGGACTGGACTGGGGCCCAGCTACTCACGGGTGATGGATGTGGTCCCACTTCAAACGTGTGACTCCAAGTCACAGAGAGGAAGAGGTGTCTACCAGCGAGACACCATGCAGCAAGCTGCTGGAGCCTGCCTGGGAGTGGGGTCCACACAGTGCCCACGCTCCCCAGAGAGACCCCCATCCAGGGGTCAAACCGATCACACACAGCCCGCGTGGACCTTTCCACTGTACCCTCCAGAGCATTCCTGGGGAATTCCACAGGGAGCAGTGGGAAGTGCTCTGAGAAGCAGGAAGGCTTCCTTTCCTGGTGGCTGGAGGAAGATTGCTCCTCTGCCCCAGCCCTCCCACCACACGGATGCTCCATGAGATCAGCAGAGCTGACAACCTCCTGCAGCGAGCTGCTCTCCGAGCACTTGGGCTCTTGTCCCTCTGGCTTCTTGCCTACTCCCTTCTGCAGGCTGGTGGCAGAGAACACACACCCTCTTATCACACAGAGCAGAACGGGAGATGAAGGAGAAACGTGGCAGCAGCAGATACTCTCCCTCTCTTCTCAAGCCAAGCTGCTGAACTCTTCACCAGCCTGAGCAGTTCCCCAATGGCAGCCACATAAAAGTTTAACCCTTCTCAGTTTCCCACGGTAGCATTAGCAGCAATGACTGATCCCACCAAATCATTACAGGATTTATTCTAAGCTGCTGCTGGGAAACTTTCTGGCGCAAAAGGGACTTTTTTCCCCCTAGCTTTTTGAGCTTCAAGTTGCAAATGGAAAATTAAGCTAAGTTGACTGAAAGGGAAACGCATCGGGCCCCGAGGACAGGAGAAATCTCACCGTGTCCTCTGGCTGCCAAGATCAGCCAGTTCATCCCCCTGGCTCCCCCACAGCGTGACCCTCCTCAGGCTGCTTCCCCCGCCCGCAGCAGTGCTGCTGGGAGCCTTCAGATCCCCAAACCTGAGCAAGGCTGAACCTGTCAGGAGCAGGCTGGAGGGAACACATAACCCGTGCAGGAACTGGTGCTGGGGAGTGGGGAAATGACTCGTTTCCTTTGCAGGGAGTACTGAATCAGCTCGCTCAGATAGCACAGTGTTCCTGCAGTCGTCTCTCCAGGGGCAGCTGCTCAGCGCAGTGGTGAATGAATAGCTGGTGATGGCTCAGGACACAGCTCAGCTCCTGTTCCTGTGCACACTCCAGACTGACTCATCTATCCTTCAGGGTCTCTCCACTTCATTCCTGCCTCCCCTGCACAGCATTAGTGGCACAGTTCTCCTCCATCCCAGAGGATGGGAAAACACTGCAATGACTGAAGAGAGAACGTTCTTCTTTCTCAGGTGCTAATGAATGTGGCAAACCCCAACTTAAAAGGGAGCTCAAAAAAATCATCAAAGCTTCTCCCCGCTCTGGCCTCAACTTCTGAGCAGTGACGTTACCCCTGCAGACAGAGAATCTGTCTTGTTTTCTTCCCAGAGGAAGACGAGGCACACCCCACATGCAGGGACACTGCCACAACCCCCCAGTGTAGCCCCCTGTGTGTGGAAAGCACCAGCACAGAGGGACTGAGCTGCTAGAGGGGCAGCACTAAAATTAAACTAGAACTAAAAGTCCCCTGCCCAGGAGGAGAAGACACCTCATCTCCAAAAGACACACCAACCCTGCTTCACCTCTCTGTCCTTGCCAGGTGCTGGGCAGAGACAGAGACAGGACCTAAACTTAAACCTGGCTTGAAGTACTGCCTAAAACAAATTTACAATTTTTGGGGAAAAAAAAAAAATCCATCACTTTGGTTACTTTATTCTCCAAGACAGGCTTAGTGTATTAAATTTGGATACATCTGGGTTTCAACCAGTCTAAAAAGAAAAGGCCCTCATCATTCTGGCAGGAACTGAGATGTTGATGGGAAGCCAGTCTTGTGATATGATTTCCACAACAGAAACAGATGTTTATTCTGGGTCTGTACAACACCTATCACAGAAAAATCCTCGTCCACAACTGGATTCCTAATAGAATAGCAGCACGACGTATAACAAAATATTCATATTCTAGCTTGAGGAAAGCAGCCTTTCTATAGAGACACTTCAGGAACAGCCTCTGCATGAGGCTCTGCAGACCCCTGAGCAACCTCAGACCTTGGAAGGAAGTCTGGAGGAGTGTGAAGAAATAGAGGGATCCTGTACTCTATCACTCACTCCCTATTTTTAAAGATTTACAGAAATATCTGTGCATATTTGTACAATAACATCCCTACATCCTTTGCAGCACATTTATCTCCATCACACTTTCAACTACTGCTCTTCAAAATCAGCTTCGTTTTATGCAAATAGAGCTCTGTGATGCTTGAAGTCATTTGCCTGCAAAAAGACTTCCCTCTGGGGATAGTTCTGGTTAAACGAGCTAAAAAAGCTACGATCCAACTGTGTGAGTGAGGCTAAAACTTTTCCCATGTATTGTACAAAGCGTGCGGTCTCCTTTTTTTTATTAATATGACTCATTCATTAAGAGACATTCAAACACATTGTGTGTTCCTTAATTTATCATAGACTGTCAGCTTGAGTAGCCTTTTCTGGTACAAGGAAGACTGGAAATAGGCACTTCATATTTTATCAGCGTTCCAAATCACCTCTCTCTCCTACCCACTGATTGAATTGGCAAGGATTGCTTCTTTATGGAAGGAGCTGGGCTCCAAGACAAACTGCTCGTGGGGAAGATGGCAGCTGGAGCAGTCTAGACTCAGAAACACATCTGCCTTTGAAAGGAGGCTGCCTGCCAGGGTAACACCACACCTCCAGCCGGGCCTCCTGCCACCAGGGTTGGGACCTGGGGCTCCTGGCCGTGCACCGTGCCGGTCGGGTGGGAGCTGGAGGCTCCTGGCACACCCAGCCCAGGACTCTTCCGACTTGGATACTTGGGGAGTCGTTGGAAACGTGCTCCTTCTTCCCCCCCCTTGTGTTACTCACTGCTTCCACAGCCTCTAAGTGAACTCGGCATGCTCCTCTGCAGGTTCTGCATCAGGTATGGTTTTCTTGCTCTAAAAATAACCCTCAGACACTTGTCAAAAGAGACAATATTGTCTTTTTGTTGTTTTTGTTTGTAGGGGCAAAAAAACCTATGGAATTACATAGGAGGAGAAAGGTCCGACTTGGAGGGCACTGTGGACAACCCAGCTAGACCCCAGATGCACCTGGGCAAGGGCTCTGCTGCAGCTTTACCACATGACACAGAGCACACACATCCCAGTGCTGGGGGTCAGAGGAGGGCGACAGCCCCCCTAAACCTCCCTGTCAAACCTCCTGCTGGCACAGACAAGCAAATAACATCCCATCCACCAAAGGGCTCAAACACCTCTCACATCATGGCCATACACGGGCTTCACATGCTGGCAACAACAGATTGTTTTTCAACATATAGATTTCTTTTTTTGTGTGTCAAAGCCACTGGCAGCCGTGGGCTGGGGTCATGGTGCTCTGCAAGCTGAGCAAAGGCCCTGTACAGGGACTGGAGATCTCCAGCGAGGTGCTGTGGGATGATTCAGAGGGACCTTTGCCAGCTGCTGAGTCAGTGCTGCCTTAACTGACTTAGCACGATGTTTGGGTGTTCTTTTTGCTACTCCCCCCCCCCTTCCAAACGAAATTTAGAGCAGAAATCCCAAATGCTTGTGGTTATTAATGGTTCCCAAGAAATTTTTCTTTTTTAAGAACATATTATGCTCCCTCCTCCAGCTGCCCAGCAAACCCAACATTCCTGAAGAATTAATGCTCTGCCACTAGCTGCATGGGGGACGCAGCGTCTCCGTTTCCTGTTGCACAGCACCGTGGTGGCCTTTTCAGGACAGACTTATCCATGGAGGGTGCTGCCTTTTATTGCTAGGTGAACAGATCCTTTTAGTCCCTTGCACTCCCCTGACCTCACAGACACCTCCCTCGAGGTGGTGTCCCCCTGCACAGCTCAGATTATCCCATGGTTATTTTGGTTGCACTCACAAACCCAGAACAGTGCAGAGACCACAGTGCCCGAGTCGTCACTGCCTCACCCTGTGGCTGCCACACTCATCCTGGTTTGGGGATGATCAGGATGAAAGGTGGTCCTTTCTCTCTGTATGGAAACTGGACAGGCTGGGTGCTGCTGGCTGGGTGCCAGCCTGCCCAGGAACCGTTGCCAAGGTGCCCCAATCCTCGCTGACAAGGTAGAAGGCAGCGCCCCTCACACACTGCTCTGCCCAGCAATGGGCTTCTCAAAGAGACCTCGCATCAGGCAACAGGACTGGGAAACCAAATGAATCACCTCTGTGAATGAGATCCCCAGCCCACAACCTGCCCCGTCCAGGGGAAGTGCCGGGCTGTGACAGCCCAGAGCAGAGCGGGAAGGGCTGCACTGACCTCATCTCAAGCGTCTGCCCAGCAGCGCAGGGACGGCGCCAGGTAATTACTCAAGCACACAGCATTTATCAGCACTTGTTCTGCAACGTGCTCGTCTGGCCATGGAAGTGCTACATTAATTTCTCAACATGTCATCCCCATTCCGGTCTTTTCTCCTCCTTCCCTTCCCATGTCAGAGCCATCCAATGTGTCTCTGTATGGTACAGAGATCTCTGAGTGAGTCAGAGGAGCTATCAAGTGCCGCACGGCAGCCAGCTCCAGCCAAGCCATGACCTTTCCCTCCCAAAGTGCCGACTTTGCTTCCAGCAGTCAAAGAGGACAAAGCCAGACAGAGCCTCAAAATGTTCTCCTTTCCCTCAATTCGAGACTTTAGTCGTTCTCAGATGGGATGGAAAAATCCTGCCATCTCTTCCCCCAGCCCTCCACAGCCTGAATCTGGCTCTTTGCTATGATTCACAAGCTGAGAGGGATTTTCCACTCCATTAATAAGCTCTTTAAATTGCAGGGGGAAGTGGGGGCTTGGAGTCTGATGACCCTCATGACACTTACAATGCAAAAAGGTGGAAAAGCCCAGAATTTCACTGGGCTTAGGGTGGGCCAACCAGATTTACCCCTTACAGGTAAATCGTGTTTTAAGAGAAGTCCACAACTGCCAAATTAGTCTTGGAATATTCCTGAAACAACTCTCCACAAAACACAAAAGACTGCCCAAAGACAAAATCACCACAGTTCATTCTCTCTACTCAAGGTTTTAGCAAAACTTCTCCAAGCACAAAGACCAAGCACCCATTGAAGGCTTCGTGAAACCACCACTGCACTTGAGGTGTTGCTTGCAACAATGAGCAGCACATCTGCAGACACAAGGGATGTTGATCGTGCTCCTTAAGCCAGTCTCAATATTTCCATTGTAAACCCTTCTTCCACTATTTTAAGAAGTCAGCTGTAAAAATTTGCTCTAGTCTGGAACTTGGCAACCACAGGCTCTGTCTGGGAGAAACTTATTTTACATGTACAACCTCTCTCTCACATACACAATATAGCAGAAAGCTTGGGTTGGAACACCAAATTCTCCCAAAAGTTGGCCAGTTTAGAGATCCTGTTTGCATTCTTGTATTTGAAAAAAAAAAAAAAGCTAGCAGATAATTACTGTGGCCTGACTGCTTATAGCATTACAAAATGTGTATATGCTTTTACGATGGCCAAGATATACACCCTGAGAGTGGTTATTGTGTGTGGAATGCTGTAGTTAAATTTATAAAGGAAACGCTGCACGTTTTAAGTTCAGGCTTTGAGAAATAAAAAAATAAATTAAGTAATAACATAAAAATAGAGGAGAGTTCATTATAAAAAATCCTGTAGCAATGTCTGTACTTGCATTTGATGAAGTGGGGCACTTTAATGGAAACCTGAGTTTCAGGTACAAAACAAATTCATAACCAATGTTAAGAAATAGTTAAGTTGAAGAAATAGTTAAGTTGTGGCATATTTTTGAGGCATCCGGGTTTTCTTCAGAAGGTGACCAGGGGTGTGGAACAGATCCCCAAACTGGCCATCAAAATCTTAACCAGCAACTTCTAAGAAGGAAGGTGGGATTTCCCCCCCTCCCCTTTCTTAAACCTAACACTAAGCATCAGCTTTAACCACACACTTTTAAGGGGTATCCACCACCACAAAGCACTCAAGTTTACACTGAGATAGATGCTAGAATTGTGATCATCAGAAATGTCTGTTTGGCCGCTATGTTGAGTTGTCACACTCAGCTAAGCTCCACAGAAACCCTGGTAGGTGATGGGCTGCCAACCACTGAGCTGAGCCGTGACAGGGCATCGTTAGCAGCAAGAGCTGGAACCTACCTGAGGTCCTCTCTCTCCTTTCACTCCTGGATATCCCAGTAAAAATGGAAACGGAGTGGGTCCGAGGGGGTCAAAGATCTGATAGCCGTCGGTGGCAGCGGGGGTTGTGAGGTTGAAGGCCTGTGCCCCAGCTCTGAGGCCGGGCCGGGCAGGCCCCAGGGGTGGTTTGGTGTACACCAGAGGGACGTTGCTAGGATCCGCTTTCCTGGGGGGGGACGGCACCTGCTTCTTTGGAACGAGCCCATTGTTTGGGTTCGGGGGGGTTTCCTTCAGGGTGACAAAGTGGACGCTGCTGGTTGTGTTATCACTCATCCTCCGCGCTGGCTTTACAGTCCTGGGTGCTGCAGAAGGCACAACGGTGGGGTTTTGGTTGATCTTTGTTTTGGTCTCTTGCTTGGACTCCTTCCTTCTGGCTGTGGCAGGGCTCTGGCTTGTGGGTGGGGCCTTTCTGGCAGTGGGAGGGGGAGTTTTCTCCGTGCGTGTGCCGGGAGTGGGCCGAGACACCCTGAGGGTCGTCACCGTCCCCCGCGGCAGCGGACGGGTGGGCGGCTGTGTTTCAGTACTCGATGGAGCTGGAGGTGGGGCCACTGTGACTTTTGTGGCCTTGGTGGTCAGTCTCGGCAGCGATGGTGGGGATGACACCAGCGTGATGGTGGTTGTACCTGAACCCCGAGTCCTGAGGGGTGTGGTGACCCTGCCCAACGCCGAGGACGGGGTGACGGTGGTCAGGTTTTTCAGACCCTGTGACGAGCGGTCCGTCTGCTGCGGGGTGCTGGGGGATGCGCTGGGATCTCTGGGCAGGATGGGGAGGAGGGGAGGCAGGTTCGGCCGGTAGGTATCTGCCTGCCTGCACTGTTTTTTCAGGTATTTACAGTAATGATGAGCTGCCTTGGCGGAAGGATAAATATCGAACTGGCAGATGGCTCCTTCAAACTGCACGGAGTGCTGGTTTATCTTCCCAAAGAGGAAAGATCCGTATGGATCCAATGCCTCGTCCTTTTTAAAATGCAAATCCGCATGTACTCTGTGCTTCCCACAAGAAGTAAATAAAGTGACTGTCTGGCCACGGAGATCGATGGCCATATTGTGCCACTGGCCATCGTGGACATTGTAATCAAAATATACAGAGCGCTTGTGGCCCACATACACTATGATCTTCCCGGGCACAAACTGGACCCCCAGCTGCAGTTTTTTCTTTTTGCTCTTGACAGCAAAGAGAAAAGCGTTGTTGATGCGGTGGGAGCAGAGGCTCAGCACCAGGAGCAGGTCAGTGCTGGAGCCCGCGGGGAGGATGGTGCCGACCGGTGCTTCGACACGTGCTCGCTGAGTGAAGATGACCCCTGATTTGAAAGGAATGACTCCTTGAGGAACTGTACGTGAGGAGGACCATCCGCTCGATGGCCTTTTCCCAGACAGGCCCAGTCTTTGAAGAACGTCCACATCTGAAAGGGAAGCACCAAGGAAATGTGAGTTGATGGGCAACCCAAGGGCTGGGTAGGTGTGAGGTGGGGGAAGGTGTCAAACCAGTCTATGCTAAAAGGCCAGAGCGTGCAGGAAACCCCAACCATCCTCTCACATTTATGCACTGAAACAATCAGAATGGACAGCACATGTCCTGTGAGGAGCAAGTGCACGCTCAACTGGGTCACCACCAACTGCCGAAACGCGTCAGCTCCATGGTGCATCTGGCTGGCTACCCTGTCCCACCAGCAACCAACTCCAGATGTTCTGGAGGGAGCTGACCTCACGACAAGGAAATTTCCCACTGAGCACCAATAGCCCACTTCTTTGGGATTTAATTCTGAGTACTGACCACACAGCTGGAAAGGAATTTGAACAACAGACCGAGCTGGGATTGCAAAATTTTATATCCCCGGAAGGCAAGGAACACAGAACTTTCAAAGGGAGCAAAAGCCTCCTATCTGCCTGCCTCCAAATTAGTGAGAAGCAGCTTTTGATCTTTGAGGCTCTGGAGAGTTTAGGGAAGCAAAGATGCCTTCCAGCATGAAAAAGTTGCACCTAGATTTCACTGAATGACTTCAGGTTCTCAGTAGTGGTACTTTTTTTTTCCCAGTGGATCACCTTACAGACTTAAATGATTTTCATAGGCTGGAGGAACCAGACTTGGTTTGTGAAGAGCTGAGAAATCGGTTATGGCTTTCACTGAGCAGTGGAGGCAAGACTTGCCTCCAGAATTTGTCACTTAGGAGCTAGGTGCTTTTTTTCAGGACAGGATGATGTCCAGAGGCACCTGTGTTTCTCCACCAACTCCAGGAGAAGCCTGCAATGGACAGACAAGCCGAATCCTCTGCTTTCTGGCCCCAAGGTCTAACAGGAGTCACACAGCTCGCAGTCCAAGGCAGATTAGCAGGCAACAGCAACACAATCTGGAGCCAGCTGGCAGCAGCCTCAGCTGAACTACTGAACTGGGGAAGATGCCGAGGTCTACGTGAGAAAAGCTGCAAAGGTAAATGTGTCCAGACTTGAAACAAAAAAACAAAGGTGCTCATGCATCCCAAAGCTTCTCAATTCCAGCTTGAACATTTGTTCTGATAAAAGATGTTACCTACATAGTATAGACAGACAGAGGTAAGCCTATAATGATTACCATGACACCAGCACTGATGAAAATGAGTCAGGTTAACTGTATTTCCTCCCTTCTTCCCTGCTGAAATGCAACCCCCGGCACTTGATGACCAGCTAACTCTCATATTTAAGTGCTCTTTGGGGAAGCAAGCCTGGGCTGTATAACCCAAACACTGATCTCACAAGGTAAGGTCAGAAATGCAGCAGTGCCAATCACGGCTGCACGTCAGCTAACACCATGGGATTGCAGCTTTCCTATATTAAAAGACAAAGTAAATCAAAGGTTTTCCAAAGGAAAAAAAAAAATTAACTCCTTCCCTAAAGGGGCCTTTGGCCTCTTTAACCCTTAGCTATTAAATATTCAGCATAATACCCAATATATTTGGAGAACTGGCACTTAAAATAGATCCTCAGTGTTGGCCAGAAGGGTTATAGGCTCAAGCCAGTCTGAGGTCTGTAATGTGGCTGGCCAGGAAGGGAGGAGAGTAACGAGAAAACCTCTGTTCCTTGACTTTGGCAAAAATCTTGGCCATTTTTGAATGTAAGAACAGGTCAATCAATATTTGCTTTGTCTGAGTTCAGCTTTATTACCACCTCCTTTTTTTTTTTAAGGAAGCTTGACTTGTTTTCTAGCAGAAACTACCTTGGAGAAGATGCACCAGATGTGAAAGGGGATGGAAATGTTCCCACCCTATGCAGAGGGGATAATTTACTGCACAGCATGTGCAAGTGTTAATCATGGTACTTCTCCCATAACAAGAAATCCATAGTCCCCCACTGTGCTTTTCTGCCATATTATCCAATGGGCTTGTCCCTCAAAGAGCCTTCCCCTCCCTGCACTGAACAGAGGAATCACAGCAGTATCTCATACTGGATAGTCTCCAGAGCCCATGAAATAGCAAGGGCCAAAGCCTGGCTTTAGCAAAGGCAAGTGGGACTCTTGCCACAGACTTCAAAGGCATCAGAATTTAGCCCTAAAGAAATAAATTTACCACTTAAACTAGGAGCTAGACTCTCGCTTTCAGCTTCTACATGTATTTTTAGGTTCTCTCCCAGGGACAGACAGTGGTGTGTCTGTACCAGGCAGAGATGCTCCAGGAGCTATTCGTTTGGTAGCTGCTCTGCAGAGACATCAGGATGTGGCCTCACACAGAAGATGCTGCTGCTGCTTGTGACACCAATCCAACTGCCTCGCTAGCAACCGCATCCAACAGTGCTTAAGGGGAAAAAGCACAACCCAACCACTCCTTTCCATCAAAACTTGCTAAGGTAGAGCCAAATTCTAGATGCCTAAGCAAAACCCAACTAAATGAGACCTCATACAGGACATGGATGTGGATTTTCCAGCAGCAGGTCCAGGCACACAGCTCAGGACTCCGTTGCACCCAGCCCGTCTGCTGCTCCATTCCACCCCGACTGCCCCGGGCTGGTGGGGCACATCCCCTGGGATGACAGGATGTCATCAACTGACATAAAATGCAAGGTAATTTTGACTTCCTTAAGTAGCTCCAAGTTTAGCAAAGCATTTTTTCCCCTTCAAACTTTTCCCTCTGTAGATTTTTCCATCAAAACACATTATTTAAAAAAACCATTTGCCTAGAGCTGCCTGGTCCCAGGTGCCTTGAAGCTAATTGCAACATTCCTGTAGCAACGTTTGAGCAACTGGGAAAAACATTTTTAGCAGACTCTTTGCATAAAGTGGGATGCACAGAGATTCCTGAACAACCACATGATCATCTCAGAAAGAGGGGATAAAATGTTTTATTGCTCTCCTTCCCATCTCTTTCTTTCCCTCCCCCTCCCCCCACGCAAAATGCTTTATAAGAAAAAGAAGCCAAAAGGCAGGAAAGAAATCACTTGCAGCTTTCTAAATTCCAGCAGCTGAGATGTTATGCCCACAGCTAAAATTGGGTTGAATAAATGCTGCGTTTCCCAAAGTTCCTGCCTAGACCCTTAGTCAGTGCACAGCAGATGAACTCACTAACCTCATGATCTTTTGGATTTGTAACACTTACCAAAAAATCATCCTCTGTATTCTGATTTTCCAGTGTGCAGGAAGATCCCTAAGCCTTACAGTAATAACTGCAGTGTTTTCAAAAGCCCACAGCATTGGCTTAATTTCATCCTCACACAGCTCTACGAACAAGCTCTTATTGCTTTTGTAAATCTGATGCTTGAGAATCCCAAGCGATAAAACAGTCTCAGCTCACCAATGTTTCCTCTGCTTCCCTGGAATTATGGGGGGTTTTTTTGCTTTCTGGTACCCAGAAGAGCAGCCTGGCTCTGACTGTGGGGAGACCAAGCAAGATTTTTAAAGATTCCTTTATCACAGAGAAAGTATCTCAGAAGGGAGTTATCTACCACGCCAAGAAATCCCAAGTGATAAAACAGTCTCGGCTCACCAATGTTTCTCTACAGCCTCTGCTTCCCTGGAATTATGGGGTTTTTTTTTGCTTTCTGGTACCCAGAAGAGCAGCCTGGCTCTGACTGTGGGGAGACCAAGCAAGATTTTTAAAGATTCCTTTATCACAGAGAAAGTATCTCAGAAGGGAGTTATCTACCACGCCAAGATAATGCGGAAATAGTGAAGAGAAGAAGTTCCCTTTAGACTGATAGTAACAATCAAAAGACATGGCACCATCCCATAACTCTCACGGGAGTAAAATGATGGACAGAGATGAATCTAAACAGCATATTAAAACCTACTTGAAAAAAAAAAAGAGGCGCCAAGACACAGTATTTGTTCTGCCTCTTTATGAGCTGACATAAAACTTGCTCCGAAAACTGCCTGACTAAGTAATTCAGCCAGATGTTCACCTCTTTCACATTGAAGCAGAATTTGGAAAATATGAGTTTTTTCAAAATTGCTGATGGCAGGGATGTATTTTCTTCCCCCCCTCCCCCATAAAAATGTGCTCCATGGGCTGGCTTACAGCTGAGCATTGACCAACTTTCTATTTTTCCTTCATGTTTTGGAGTCTGAGAGGAGAGCCCTGGAGCCTGCTAGTCCACTTATTGTTGTCTACTGTTTGCAGAGGAAGCTGTTCAGTTCCAGCATGTACCCATGTAAAGCAGACATGTGGAAGAGGTGTTTCTATTTTAAGAGAAGACGGCTCCTTTACAAACAGATGTTGCAGAGACTCTCAGCTCCTGCTACCAACTGTAAAAGATGAATTTATTTTTGGTTTTATTGAATCTGAAGCTTTTTATCTCCTCCTGTGGGGTCACAGATTATTGTACCCCAACCTTTTGCTCTGTCCCCAGCAGCAGTGGAAGGAAAAGCCTGGAGAAGAGGTGTAAAGACCAGAGTGAAGGTGTATGATCACTCCCCTGCAGAATACTTCCCCTACTGCACAGGACTGAGCCACATGGAGTCATTCCACTATCAATCGTAGAATTTTTCTGCTTTAAATTTGCTTTTACTTTTAGAATTCACATCATTTCTGTATGTGCCACTTCCTATGTGCCTGCACAGGCAAAACTGGGTTGCATTCAAGTCAAGGAAAACCTGTCTGCCAGAGGCACTTAACTCCTTAATGCCCCAGCCTCAAGGGGCTCTTTCCAAAAGCAGTTAAGTCCTAGCAAGTGCAGGTAGATGCCAGTGACATTTTAGACACAAAGTGCTTCATTCCCCCCAGTTCCACCAGACAGACAGGCACTTCTGAGAATCCTGTGGGGCATGTAATCACCTGTAAAAACCTGGTTCTTTTGCCAGTTGTTAGCTGTGTCATCTCTATCATCAGTCCTGCAATGATCAGCAATAAATGTATTTGATTCTGTGCACTAGGCTCAGACATCACTAAATAAATGATGGTCCTAAACTGGTACCAAAGCACTCGGCTTTTACTTTGGTTGAAAGAGGAGAGAGGGGGGAAAAAAAGTGTCATTTACCTTCAGAATTTCCCTGTGTGAATCCCAGGAACCAGGTAAAACACAATACAGTCCAGAGGAAGTAAAATCCCCTAAAATTGGAAGAGAAGAAAAAATAATGAGTTTCTACAACATTAGTAACGACCTAGCCCTTGTTAAGGTCTTCTCCTTGATCACAAGTCCAGCAGAGTCAGTGACAGTGCCCACACATCTCTGAGAAGTGGAAAACAGGCACCCAGCAGAACAGCAATTGCTTTCAACTGAGGTCTTGGTTTGCTACTTTAAAGTCACAGAAAGCCCACGGAATTCAGTGGAAGGTTTTCCTACTGGTATTAGGGGCTGTTGATCAAGCCTTGAACAAGAACCAGGCCAGTATTTTGAGATGCAGGGTCACCAGTGCCAGGTCATCAGTCCCTTTGCTACTGCTACTCTTTGGCACTCACCCTGTCTAGGACAGAGCACCAGAAATGTAAAAAAAAAGGAGAAATAATTCCACTTTGGAAGGTGAAAAGACATGCTGAATGCTTGTCTGTGAGGACAGGGGTAGAAGACAGGCTGACACACAGTGTCATCTCACCTCCACATAAGCAAATCTGGAGTCGTATCATTTTACTACGTTCTTAAAAATACCCTAAACATACAAAATCCCACATGGATCTATTCTTTTTTACACTCAGATGCAAAGATGAGGGCAGCTTCTAACCACTCAGCACCCTATGCTGTTGCCACTAATGACTTTCTCATTAGTTTGGTATGGCAGGAAATTTTAGAAAGTGAGAGCTGCAGACTCCCAAGCAGAGTGTTCTCACAGAGTCTTTCATGCCTGAGAGGGAACTGGACAAACCTTCCAGTTAGTGCCTTGAGGTGCCATTGAAAATAGCAGCAGAGAGGAAAACTTTTACCAGAGAGGTAGCTGAAAGCCAACCCCCTCCTCCCCCTCAACTTCCTTGATTTGTAGCCAAATAAAGAACATAGGAAACTCCTTGGTTAAGCTCACTTAAAACTGTCAGTGGAAAGTTTGAAGATTAAATTCCCTCATTTTCTAGAGATGATATTTAGCAGCTTGATCAGCAAGGGCTCCTGGAGGAACAGAGACAAAACCGTAAGCTATGGAAAGCCCTCAGCCAGAAGAAAGCAATGAGGGACATCCACAGGTTGTTCTGCATCTCAGCCAAGCCAGTGAGAACTCTGAGATATGCAGAGCAATGCCAAAGTGCAGCCTGATCCTCTCCTCAGGTCTGGCAGTAACAAATAATTTATCCAATGGGATTAGAGATCACTCTTCTCCTGCCATCAAGACTCAGGTTCAGCACAAGGAAGCATCCTCTGAGCCAGTGCATTACTCTGGGCCACATGCTCACCCAGTGCAGGAGCCTCTTTCCCACAGACAAAATGAAGCCACGGTGATTTACACATCAGTGGAGAAACCTGGCCTTGGACTTAAAAATCCATGCAGGAATCCAGCCACTAACTAATATTTTAAGGTTTGAAGGGACAAAATACTGGAGCAGCCCTTCATCAGCTGGGAAAGGCAGATGAACCACATCATTCGTTGCTGTTTCCATTACCCAGACCCTGGGCTGCACATTTCAGGAGCTCTGGGGCTGCTTCAGCGTACGCACGAAGGAACGAGTCTGGAACAGCCAAATCACAATATGCCTTTGCCTTGTCCTACAGCCAGCCACATGCTCACCAGGAAAGCCTCACTGCTCTCGAGAGGTCTGCAGCTGGGAAGCCATGGTTGTCTCCTGCCCACTTCATCCCATGGGACACAGCTGTCAGGCTGGAGACCCTGCTGAGTCCAAGGAGAGCTGTTCTCCCAGTTCATGCAGGGGATGTGAGGAAGGGAAGGAGAACAGGATGATTCTTCATGGCCACCTCTAGCAGAACTCTTTTTAGGAATTCAAAGAGGCTAAAATCCACTTCGTGGAAAGATTCACCTTTCTATCTTAAAACAATATATTTTTTTCTATCTTAAAACAGTAGTTTTAAGATGCAGACACAATTCCATGTGTGCTTGGAGCAGAGCCCTTGCTGGGTATCACCAGCTGGGTTTGACTGCTGATGAGAGCATGGGAAGACAAGAGGAAAGGTGTGACAAACATGGTCAAGGGCAGCAGGAGTCCCAAGCACTAAGAACACCTTTCCTCTGCTGAGGGCCAGATTCGTACAGCTATGTACAAACACTCATGCACACAACACACCCAACCGAGCTCCAGACTTTCTTTTTTTCTGCAGGACACCTTCACAACCCAAATTTCCTTCCAAATTCCCTGTTGACCGACACGGCGAGGGGAACAAGCCTTAGGGGAAAATCCAGCACGTAGTTTCATTCCAGTGACACTGACGGGGCCATAAAGGAGACGAATGCACCGTGTGGGATCCAGCTGGCCTCAGCCCCGCTCCTGGACCCCTCACACAGCCAAGGCTGCTCAGAGCTGAGAGCAGGGCCCAGTGCCAAAACACTGAAGAAAAACACTTTGGCAAAATTTACCAACTTAATGGAAAAAGCAAAAGCGGCTTCCAAATGGCAGACCTGTGACTGATGGGGCTGGTAATTACTGCAGGATTTTATAAGGCAGGCTCTTTTTCCGTTACAGCTCTGCAGTGACAGGATTGCATAAGCAGCTTGAGTAGCAATAGTAAAGCAAGATTTTTCTCCTTATATAGAGCTATCAAACCCACCTTGCCTTTATCTCAGCTTCTTTCCACAACCAGGGATTTCTACAGAGACTCTACCATAAGGTACCCACTAAAGGCATTTATTTCTTTTATTGCACAGGGACTTTGAACACCAGAACAATGATCCCACTGCTACAGTCTCTAGGTGAAGAAGTGTCCCTAAATACCTATGATGTAAACTCATGGGAACCCTAAAAGTCTTCCAGAGCAGACAAACTCCCTTTACAGCAAACCAAAGCTACTGAATACAGCTTAATTTTGCTTCAATACTTTTTGTAAACTCCTGTGATCAGTTGACAGGAACTAACCAGTGCCAAAAGCACAAGGCAAAGGATGACAGAGAGGGACGTGGAAGCACAAAGACTGGTAAAAACTCTTCTCAGCCTTAATGGTGGTTTTAGCATCTTCCCACCTGGTGAGGATCACGCACATGCAGATACTGGCCAAGAATAAACATCCTGAGGAGTCCCTACAAAAAACAACCAGAAGGTCTTGCCACCACTTCTGCTGGGTCTTCAGGACAGGCAGGAGGTCCCTGCATGGTGATATGCACCAGTCCAAAGACCTGATGAAATCTCAGCTGCTAATTAGCACGCACTTGCAAAACTGTGCCTTGAGTTTTCAGCTTCCAGACTCACTTGCCATCTTCCTGCTGAGCTTTGGAACATCAGACGTCTGAAAGCAGCAAGTTGTGACCTGGAGGCTGAAGAAGAGTTATTGCCTCTCCAGGTTGCTTGTGCACAGCATGCCTTGCTGGGATAGCCCCAGGAAAGTCATGTTCAGGGTGGCAACCTCAAGGGCAAAAGTAAAGGAAAAAT